AGGTTGCGTTATGGAGGTATATCTTCGCTCGCCCCACCATATTACCCTATTCCCTTTCGCCACTGATCCACATCGTTCCTATTGTGTCGAGCAGTACACTCCCACCACTACCTGCTCCCTCGTTTGTATTGAAAACGAGGTTCAAAATAAAGTACCCTCAGGGGAAGAGGTTGCTGCTAATCTCTTTCACAATTTTTTTAAAATGAAACGCTGTCGTCGCAAAGCATTGTGGGTAGAGTCACTTTTCTTAAACGATGTACTTGCATTTCTTGCACATGGGTCTTGCGCACACGGAAGAGCTAACCCTGGGTCATTGACTTTATATTTTTTTGTCAGGTGAGGGCGGTGGGTTTGGGGAACACCTCTTGAGGGCGCTGCATGCATGCAACTAGTGAGAAATAAGTTCACTGGTTCTTTTGTGACTGCAAACCAGTAAATGGGACCAAATCACCATTCGTACTCGTACGCCATCAGTTTTCTTTACCTATTTTATTATAGAGAGTTTCTGGTCCCTGACCTTGAGGGTTTAATTGTAGCAATGAAGGATTGTACTAGGCCGATTCCACATTTGAAGTTATATTTCTAAGATTTTTAAGATGGAATCGGACCGAAAGTTGCTCTAGTTTGCAATGGAGTGGAGGGATCATATTTCAAAACGGCGACATGGGCTTCAGACCTGCTTTAAAAGATTGTCATCTTGGGAAGTAAAAATCACCAATTGGTTAAATCCTCCCCAACCCCAACCCCCCCCCAAAAAAAAATGGCAAGAAAACGAAAGAGGCCAATCTGGCTTTAATTTCATGTATGTCTTGATCACCTGTGTGAGTTAATTCTGAGTATTTCCCTGATTTTATGTTGAAGTGGGCGTATTTATTTTTGGTGTCTATGGGAATTGATTTACTGGTCTGCACCCTTAAACTTGCCCACAGATGATACCACAGTGACTTTTAAAATCACTTGATGACCCAGATTGACTTAAACTAGGCCTATGAACATGGATGAGGCCAATGTGCATGTGCTGTTGTGCTTGGAATATAAATGTGTCCATTGGGAACTATGACCGTGCAGTTAATGTTTTCATTGTAGCTAATGAAGACATTATAGGCGTCATGCTAGAGTAAATGCATGAACTGAAGCCCCGGAAAGTATGGCAGTTTTTGCCACGAGCCGCTGCGGGCTTTATGTTATTTACGACTCGCCTCACCGAACGTCAACAGAATGGAGGTTTTGTTGATGTTCCATGTTTTATGACCCTCCAAAAAATGCGACCGTCAGCGACAGGATTAGCGAAATGGTTTACGACGATGACAAAAATGTTTCCATGGTGCCTGTGATAGTTTACGACTGGCGCACACTGGAACCCAAATCTCGCTGTAAATCAACAAACAGTTGCGAAATTTTGGCCGCTGGGAAAATGTTGCTCGCATTATTTTGCAACTCGGGAACGCAAAAGAACTGTTTTCTCACATTTTAGAAAATGTTGACAATGTGAGGTACAATTCAGAGTGAAACTCAAACATAATCTGGACATACGACAGTAAAGTCTTCAGATCATAAGTATTTCGAGGGCAAGTACAAAGTGAACACGACAAAGGGTAACTACTGCCGAAGGTATTGTCGCAGCCGCAAACCCATTCACGTCACCCCGTTATCGATGACTCGAACCTTTTCAGTTTCTTTCAAAAGACTATGAACACGAGCCGAGCTTAATTTTTGTGCTGGGTGAAAGTTGCCAGGTTCACATATTGATGGTGTGGTATCGATCAGTTTCTTATCAAATTGCTTTGAATTTCTATTTGTTACATGGGTGAAGGGAAGAATACTGTGCGCAGCCACCCCCACAACCATCACCACCTTGACTATCATCACTGTAATATCTATCTCTAGTCTAATCACCGTAATCACAATCACGATCACTTCATCACCAGTATCACCATCGTTGTCCCCCATCAACATAAGCAACGCCCAAAATATTATTATCACCACAAATAATATGCGGATCCAGAAATCAAAAGGAGGCGCAGATGGTTTTAATTTAACGCGGATGTTTTAAGATATCTGGCTCAACTGATGAACAATTGATTTTCTTAATCTTTAGAATTCGGGAACCATACATTTTGGAGACATGAGGCTTTGACAGCTAATTGTTCAAGCAAGGTGAGAATTCGACAATGACCGCCCTAATATAACAACCAATTGGACTTGGACGTCTAGACTAAGTTGATAATTTTAGCGATATGCTCGACGCCATCGTAGCTTCAAATTGGTAATGAGATTTGCCGAGATCGTATCCCGTCTGATTCAATGTGACATTTTAATGGTCCGAAGTAAAACTCATTCATGGCCCATTGTGGCGAGATAATCCCTCCGCTAACCCGATTTTGCCAGGCATTGAAAACCCAAAACCCAAAGCAGCGCTTTGCTGGCTTTTGAACTATATACAATTCGCTGAATTTAAAGACTTTCTACATGACACATTTTGTGCAGGTCAAGTATTGAGTTTGACAGAAAGGACGGTGCCTGAATGATGGGGTCTTTGTCCTAGACCCCTTTCTATACAATGATGTTGGAATTTCCTGAGGGGATTCTGACTAAAAGTCATTGTGATCCAAGTCACCTTTTTAGCGAAAGCGCAAGGTAAGCGATCGTCTAAGAATGAACCAAATGACCATGGACTGTGACATCGATAGAATAATCAAATATTAAAAATATTATGACAATATATTAAGTTAAGGAAAACACTGACATTTTTTTTGAGTGAATTTTTATTTTCTGGAAAATCACAGGTGTGGTTAAATTAAAAAGGAGCAGTGGAGGACGTTATTAAAGCTCACCCTTAATAAACGAATAAGTAAGAGCTTCCAAAGGGGATGGGATGGATGAGGCTTCGCCAAGGGCGGATACGGGGAGGGGGGGGGGGGTAAAGGGGGCCATGGCCCCCAAAAACGAATCCATTTTTTTTTTTAGTGACGTCGCTATAAACGGAGGCACTGCGTACACCACCATCTTTTCCTCCAAAATAATTGGTCAAAGTGGTAAAAAAAATTGCCTCAAATCGCACCACAGAGCATTTAGAATCCAAGAAAATTCGGGGGCCTCGAACCCCACGCCGCAATTTTTTTTTACCCACTTTTTGGGGGCCAATTTGATTTTCGCCCCGCCCCCCCCCAAAAAAAATTGTGTTGTGGATCCGCCCTTGGGCGTCGCAGTCAAGACCAAAGGCCTGAAGAAACTAATAAAGATTTGCAATGCGCTATGCAGGGAATCTGCAGAAATGTGATCTTTCTCAAGTAAAAATTAACATTGGTCAGCCGGGCGTGGGGGGGGGGGGGGTAGGAGTGGGGTGGTTATTTGTGGCCGCACCCCGAACACGCCCCTTGGACCCGCCTTAGTTTGCAGACTCAGCGAACATAAAGTTTAAGGATCATAGGCTAGGTCTACTCAAGCCTGCATGGGATGGAGGACGGAGCCTCGGTTCAATAGCAAGTCCAGACATGAATTGTGTCTAGTTTTCCAGCTTTGGAATCTTGAAGTTTGAGTCTATAGTCTTCCCGTTGTAGGCCTTGACCACAGACATTGACTCAACTATCCGGCCATCAGGTTGGGAAATGAGAGGAATTAAGATGAAAACATGGGATGATGCCAGCCACTGCTCGGGAAAGAAACCGACGTCAATACGGCAGCTGCTGTTTAGATCAGCAACAGTGATATGATCTGGATGTAAATATAAGCTCCCCTTAATTGGCTGCTGCGTGCAACGAAAATACAGAATGTGTTTCACAGCTGCCCGTGGAGCGGCGGTCATGTCTAGCAGACTGGCCCCTAATTGCAGACTGACAAACAGACTGTGACAGTCTGAACTACAAGATTCTTGCATGATTTTTTTTCATGAAATGCAAATGTCACACAGATGCATTGTTCATTATGCCCTACATTAAATAGGCCCACTAAATAACAGGCTTGATTTTTTCCTTTAAATTACCTAACTTGCCTGAGATCTGATATCAGAGTCATTATCTTTGTTTCATAAACAATTTGGAGGCATAATATCTTCTCTATGTGAACTGTAGGCTTATTCAAGTTTCACTTTATCCGCCATCCCCCACCCACAAGCGCAGTTTCCTTAAATTGAATTCTACATTTAAAATAAAAACAGCGGTAAATCTGCACACAATTAATATTTTTCACCAAAGGTCGCCGCCGTTGTTGAAGGATGACACTTTTTTATTTCGAACTCGCGGCACAATCGCGCACATCCGACGCAAAATGCGCATTCCCGTGCACATCACTGAGCGTTAATTGTTACCAGTTTATTTAGAAAAGTTTAAAGTGTAAATCATCAAAATAGTTTAACAACTTTTTACTTCGCAAGTTGGGATTTTTCCGAGTTGGCTTGCTGGTATGTGGTTGCCAGTTTACGTGTGGCTTGGGTAAGGCTTGCAACCTGTAGGCCTACAGTCATGTACTTCAACTATGCGATGCGATGCGATGCGAGGGTGCAGCCTAGCCTACATCAACTAGGGTATAACACAAATAAAGGATGACCAACGTCAGACGGATGACTTATTAAGGTATGCAGACTCCTTAATTTCAGTTATACTCTTAATGTTTTTGTTTTCGTGTAATTTGTTTCTAAGATTATTTAAACCTATTTGTTTGATATTGCATGTGAATACATTTAAAATGTAGGCCTAAGCACATGTATAATTATTGTAGTTGGAAACGTTGGACATAAGAATTTCTGTGAGTGAGAAATCACGTATTATATAGTCTTCATCTCAGTGTACAGGCCAAGGACAGCCATGTCTCGTAATTAGGGTTTATACCTCCCGGGTATTATTTCCTAGGTTTTTTTTAGTGTTTAAGTTTCAATTTAACTTCTGTGTCAATTTCACTTGAGTGCTTTTCATTATTTTTCCCCTCAACTATTATTTAGTGTGAGGACCAGTTGAAAAAAATTAGAAGTTGGACCGATATCTAACCATAAAAACGATATGGCGCCCTCACTCGTCTGATTGCAAAATGGCGGCGCACATGTGTGTTACTCAAAATGTTGTTGACACATGACAGTTTTGATTCTGTAGAGGGAGGAACTTTTCTTTGAACGCAGATATCAACTGGAATTTGGGAAACAAATCGATAAGAAATGTTTCTCGCCAGTGGCAGGTCCAGACGGATAAACGTTAATCATTTAAATGGAGGTAAACTTTCTTCTTTCCCATACATGCCATACGCTAACGCTAAACAAAAATAAGCGAGTATAATTTTAAGAATAAGATAGTGGATATTTTGCCGGAGGTAATGACGGCAAACTAACGTTTACTAAAGGTTTGCCGGCGGCAATCCATATCAACAGAGGGCGCTGTACTCTTTAAGATAGGGCTGAATTATAAGATGTATTAAATTGGTAATCCTTACTTTTAGGACAATTTGTATTGTACAATCTATTTTGTATGACTATGAGTTCTGTTCAAAACTGACTATTGCAGATGACTGTTCAGTACCAAAGTGACTTTTGCAGGCTAAAGAAGTCTTTTTTCTTGCACTTTCGAAGAAAATGTGACTTTCCTACCTTTTTTTGCAGTTCACCATCTTGCTTTTTAAATTTATTTTATGTTTTTCATCGTCGTCTTTAACCCCTCATAAATCAAAACCCTGCCCTGTTCTACAAAATCAAACCTGCTGATATTCAAGAGGTGTCATTGCCAAATGTTCAAATATGTCAATAAATATCAGAATGTCACTTTTGAGTGTCATTTAGTCATCTGTTTTGGTGAGTCTTTCAACCTTATATAGGAAAGGGGTCCTAAAAGTAAGGATTACCAAATTCCCACTAAAAGTTGTTCAGCACGTTTGGTGGTGTGGTTAAGCAAAGGCTCTAGTAAGCGGGATGACTCGGGTTCGATTCCGACCGCAGCACATTTTTAAGTTTTTTTTTTCTCATCCCCAAATAAATAAGAATATTCTTCTTTTATTATTTTGCAATGATAATTTTGGCATGGAGCCAGACTAAAATTTGTCACCGGAAAATGTTTAAGTACAAAAAACCAGTAACTGCGCATGTTCAGTGCATATTTGGCAAACTAACATTTACTAAAAGTTTGCCGTCTCCGGCAAAATATACACTGCCTAATTTTAAACGACATTACACAATCCGCACCGCCGCGTTTTTCAACGCAGAACGGGAATTTGTTGGCATCTCTGTTTTTTGCTATCTATGTTTTATCTAGCTCCGGGGGAAGCTGCTAGGGGGGGGGGTGGCACCATTTGTCAAGGGGGCACCGAGTTGTAAAAATATTCTAAGAAAATTTTACAATATTTAAAAAACATCTATCGATTTTTTTCAAGTTTAAATAAGTTTGAAGGCTGAATTTGCTATTTTATCATGCTTCTGTTTCTCATCAAACTGGCGACCACATTTGACGGTGATTTTTTTTGTTTGCACCCGTAAGCCTTCCATCCGGAGCATGGCTTGGTGTGGACCGATGGCCAACACGTCAACCTGTCGGTCTTATCTGTCAATCATGATGATGTCACCGCAGCCCCGCCCACGGTCTTGGGCCAGTTTGAGTGAGTGCTGAATGTGAGTCTGTTCAATGCTGAAAGTCTCACACGTGCACGTGTTGCTTAATGCTTCCAATTTTACTTAAAAATTGGCTGAAACATGTGACCACTAGATTAAAAGACCATTTTGTTCTCCAAAGATCTACGCTGTAACATTTGTATCTTGTTAAGGTTTTTATAGATCGCATGATTCGCATCACATAAATACTTTCCATGTTGACACATCGTTGTCTCCATGCAACAAGGTCGTGAAACGCGAGTTTACAATGTCAACAGGTCATATCTCACTTAAAATAACCCGGATGTACACACATACATGTATATAGTCAGTGGACGTCACAATATGCGAGATACAACCTTGTTGCACGGAGCGTATTCCCACGAGATACGACTTTGTTGCAGAATCGAGTTATGACCTTGTTGCAATGACGCGACGCCATGTACAATCAACTTGACGCTGGCAAAGTTTGTACTTGGTCAACCCATCAAACTTGCGAATTTTATTCATTGAAAGCACTCCCTCTCCTTTCATAGAAAATTCATAAATAAACAAGTGTCGTCCTCAGTCAACATTGTCTGTTTTTGGGTAACCAGAGTCCTGGTATCCAACGGATAGAAATTGCTTGTTTTTTTGGCAGACAATATTTCTATTTTGTTGTTTATGTTATTTGATATTAAGCTACATGAACATGTACTTTTCTGTCTTTCAGTTCAGTGGAGCATACAGCCTGGAGTTCAGACACAACGCCATGTTATCTATGCGTTCAGCAAACCGACAGCATCACGGTGTGGAAAATCGATAAGTGGTACGTAGCAGTGTTGTAGGTCTTGAGACCGATCTCGGTCTCGAGAACGGTCTCGAGACCACTTTTTTGCTGGTCTCGGTCTTGGTCTCAGGAGCAGTGAACTCAGTCTTTGTCTTGGTCTCAGTCCCCTTTGTTCTGGATATTTTGGCTGGTCTCGAGTCGAGACCGTCAATAAATAGCATTTACAACTCGTTGAGGTGCTCCAAATAAGTGACATTTTCAACCCCACACAATCTTAATTTGAACAGTATTTAGGAGAACTAGTAAATGTTCCCACCTGATTTTCTAGCAATGATGAATTCACACACTCTTACAGTGTGTTACTTAAGCTTCCTGCTCAAGTGAGGTGTCATGTATGTCAATTTGTCAAGACTACCACTGGTCAAAATTGAGTCTGTAATCTTCGTGAATAAAAATATGATTTTTATCCCAGCTCAGAGAAACTCAAGTTCGAAAAGACCAACGAAGTCGAGAAACGAGCCATTTCTCAAGGTTAGTACATATTTTCTGCATGTATCAAATTCACATCCTTAGAACAGTCTTCACAACCCTACATGAGGCTTGAAATTCTGAATCAAGTAAATAGAATAATGTGCTCTCTGGGACCAGCAGCTGATTTCATAGTGTTACGCGTCGTAACTCGGGTGTTTTTCAACGCGTCGTAACTCGGGTTGCGACGAATCGCAGCGCATCGAGAAATTGGATGCAGCTTAACTAGACTTTCCTTGTCTTGTTCATAACATGAAAGAAATTTGTGTTGAAAAAATGTATTTCTGACTTTGGTCCTAGGTTGCTTTTGGCATCCAAGCAAACCGCTGCTTGTCATTCTGTGCAGGGATCGGCTTCTATTAGTTGACCCATCGAAAGCATCCACCCATGCGGTTCCTGTGATAAGCTCATGTCACCGGGTCACTGCAGGAACATGGTCCCTGGATGGGTCAAAGGTCATCATTGCTGTAGGATTGCACCTTCATGTGAGTGAGAGACCATCATATTAATTATTGATTTTATGTGCTATAGGTAATGTCCAACATTTGCTTTTGCTGTAATTTTCAGAAATGGATGGATTTTGGGGTTGGTATTTTACAGCAAATATTGTTACACTGAATGGTTTAAAGTTTTGTGTTCATAGATGCTGGAAAAAAAAACAAGAAAAAATGCTGTTCTTGCAGTCTGATTCCTGACCCTACTTCAGACCAAACGGAGCAATTTAATGAATTTATAGAAGTAATTTGGTAAATTGGGGACAGTATTTGAAAAAGTCAGGTTTTTCCCAACGAGGGAGATTGATACTAAAGTGACACTTTATAGAAGGCCTCTTTGACCAAAACTAAATAAAGTTGGAAAAACAAAGGAAAAACACATGTTAAATATCTTATATTTATTTGCAGGTTTATGAATTGAATGATGAAAAGGAATTGGTGTTGTCAAGAACAATACAGAAGTAAGTGCCTCTGCTTTTTCTACTCCGTACTCTGCTCTTATTCAAAGAATGCATGTACAGGCAATAAGCCATTTGCAAATAACCTATACCCTTTGCGAGTCAAATTTGAATAACATCTGGTACACTGACTTGCTCATAATGCTTGCAACTTTTTAACTTTGAATTCTCCAGACCAAAGACACTGTTGCTACATCACATGATTCAGGGCAAGCTCTTGCATAGTTACATAAGAGACGCTCAGCATCAATACATTGTTCACAATGGGTGAGAATGTCACAAAGACAACTGTGGCTTTGCTCAATGGAATTAGCACTCATTGTTTCAGAGCTGGCCATTTATGCACTGGTGTTGGTAGCTAAAAGTGCACCAGACTTTTCCACTTGATGCACCGAGTTGCATCTGGCAGGGTTAGGATCAAAGGAAGCCAAGTGGTTAATCATTTATGTAATTTAAGCGTACAAGGTTTAAAATTGAGTTGTTTTTCAAATCTATTTCCCATACCAGTTTCTCCGGACCAATCAGGACACTGGTCTCAGTGACCCCTGACCTCATTGTCATGGCGCTAGATCTGCCATTGGAGCAGCTGGTTAGCCAATCCCAGATGGACATGTTTGAGGCCATGCCATTGGCTGAGCTACGCACGGAGAGTGGATCTGGAGATAGTCCGAGGATACAAGCTGCCACATGTAATGAATCGGAGGTCAAGGGTCACGCAGTAATGCGACATTCCACTCCAGATGATGAAGGGGACAGAAACATCAAAACTGAAATATTGCACAGGACGGGACCTGTCGATATCAACGCCTTGATTAGAAGGAGAGACGTGAACCAGACCTCTGAGTCCAACACTTACCACCAGACTCTCGACCAATCAAACCAACCTCCGAAACACAAGGTTATTCTCGAGTCAGAGGATGAAAACAAGAAAAATAGGAATGATGTTGGAGATGGCTTACCAACGGAAGAGCTTTGTCTTGGTGAAGAATCCAAAGGAGGGTCAGAACGTGACAGTGCCTTGAATGGGAATAATCTCAACCCTGCATGTGAGACGGGGCTGCAATTTCAAGAGAGATCACATGAGATTGTTGATCTGTCTGGTTTTAAACATCGACCAACAGGATGGGAAAGCAACAAGGTTGTATTTAAACGAACACTACAGGTGATTTTTACTACTACATGTGTTAATACACGTTTTTGTCCTTCGAAGTACAAGTCGGTCTTTCAAGGTTGTGCAGGGATTTTTTTTAGCTAGCAACACATAGCCACTAAGGTATAGAGTTTTTTATGGCAGAGAGAACACTCGCCCTAAATCGACCCTTGTTTCACTTGCTTGTACTTGCGAACGATGTTTGTGACGAAATGCTATGAAATAACTCTGTTGAAAGGTTTTTTGTATTTTTCCATATGCAATTAGAAAGTGTATTCCAAACTCCAAACTGTTTAAATATAGGTTGGAAGATATGTGAGGAAAAAATGAGAGTTTCTATTGATTCATTGATAAGGCCCAAAAAAAAAATTAGTCAGTCTCTGGTCAGCGCGCGCGTCGATTTTAAGCATGCGCGTCAATCTTTTTTTTTCCCAAAATGTTCCGCGGTAGCTCCAACAGCGCCCTCTATTTCCGCACCTCCTCAATTTTTTTTACCAAATAGCACCAAGGAATGGGAAATTGCACCAAGGCAAATGATCGAAAGCACCAAGGCAAATTATGGAGGCCACCAATGTACATGAGGACACCAAAAAAGCAAATTAGTACCCACCTTGTCTGTACAATCCAAGCTGAAGAAAAAAAAAAAAAAGGAAAAAAAAAAAAAAAGCCGCGTGGCTGCGTCAATTCCGGAACTTCGGTCTGACCAGAGACCGAATATTTTTTTTTTGGCCTAACAAAGGGATATAAACATAGATCTAACAAAGTGCAACAAATTTTGTTGTGGTTATATTTTCCAGGAACCTACAACAGAATCGTCTCAGCTGGTATTGGTCAGCATCCGAAGCAACCTTCCCAACGTCCAAGATAACGCCAAGGATTGCGTCCTATCTGCTGTGGATCTGCCATGTGTTCTCAATCCTGATCTTCTGATATATCAAGTAAGATATTCGAAATCCTCAACCTGGGGCAAATTTATTAACCCTCCTAGTCTTCTGCACTAATAATAACAACCCTTCAAGTTTGGCAACTTTAAACCACTTTTACCCATAGAGTTAACACCCACACTTCAAATTCCTTTGAGGTAATCTTCTGTGTGGAGTATGGATAACACTTCCAATCCCTGCACTATTCTTTTGTGTGGTTCAGCTCAGGGCAAGCTTGCCACAGTCTGTCAAATCATGGAGCTATAAAATACTTTCAGGGATAGATGCAGCAGAGACAGTGTTTTATCATGAGAAGGTTTGCGCTACAATTTTGTGCTGCACAAACTGTCCTGAGACCCAACATATACCCACTGCGCATTTCTAGACGGGTATCCAAAAATAACGGTCCATGTTCAGTCTTCATTGTACTTGAGGTCCCTGGTAGAAGGATTTTTTTTGCAGAAATATGTTAGCCTGAATAAATCTTTTTGTTTTGTTTGAAACAGAGAAAGAACCAGATTCTTGTAATCGGCAGTAATACACAGACGAAATGCTATCAAGTCTCCATACTCAACGGAAAATCGTTGGGAGGACAAAGATTAGTCGTAAGTGGTTATTTCTAGTTTTGTTGAGGTTGTTGAAGCTCAGCCATTGAGTGACGAAAAATTGTGAAACTTGGTGCATGCATAGAACTACTTAATAGGAACATATCCAAGAAATTTAAAGACTCTAGGTTAAAGGGTTGTGGAATTACCGGCTAATTAATTATTCATCTGCACCAATGGTAATTCTGCTTTGTGTACACTACATATGGGGAAAGTAAGTTTACATGGCGAGCAGCGACGAAAAAATTTGCCCTCCGCAGTAACCCATGGTTGGAAAAAGTCAGGAAAGCTCGGGTCAGGAAATTTTTTTTGTGCTAGGGAATCGCGGAATTTTTTGTGTGGTCTCCCCCAATATGAGCCTCAAAAGAAACCATCCATTCTGGACAAACTCTCAGTGCGGAGATTTGTTTTAAAAAGTTTGAGTAATAATGCTCCAGAAAAAAAGCCATGGAATGTTGGGAATTAAGATTTCTTTTTAATCAAAGTGTCAACTTTACGGTTTTTAACTTTTGCACGGGATAATCGATGTATCGAATATTCTGGATATTTTATTTTGATATCGACTGTGCTTTATTTGAATACATGCAATTATTGGGGTTTTTTGGTTGCATTCTAGGACTTGAAAATCTCTAAGAATGAGAGATGTCTTGGGTTGTGCACGTTACCATTCTGCAACGATATCCTCCTCCTCACTGGCGATTCCTCGCAAGGCCAAGACGTCACCTTTCTACCCTCGTCAAGTTTTTCAGAGTTTCAACTGAAGCTACGAACTCTTAAACTGAATTACAGTAAGTTCTTGCTCCAACATGATGTTCTGTCTGTAAATAGAAAGGATATTTCCTGATGGCTAGAGTTTTCTTTAGCATTCTTTCAACTTTGTCTAATTTATCATGTTAATTATAGGATAATGATAATGTTTTTATTGACCCTTTAACAGAACTCAACCCATGAATCCTCAACGGCATGTTTTGTTGGAACCCGTTAGGATGGGTATAATACCCCTATTCTTTTGGGTTGGCACACCTCCAGAATCAAAGTCAGAAATATATGTGTGCAGTTTCCAATATGGTGTTGGAATTTGCCAGGATGGGTATGGTTCCTAGTAAATCTTGCTAAGAAGTTGGGGTTAAAGAAGAATTTCTCAGTTTAATATAAAGTAAAACATACTATGTACGTGCCATAATTGATTCCAAGTGATTTTGAAATTTCTCTGGATGTGGAAGACATAAGGCGTTGTTACATTTCCCTCTTTTGTTGCCTATTTCAAAACATTCTTTGTTTGTTTTTCAGCAACACCATGTGTGGATGAGAGATGTGACCTTGAAAGCATGAATGACCTCCGACATCTGACCTTACCAAGCGGAGGGTTATTGACGGGAACAAGTTCTTCTCAACCAAAGTGAGTTTTTAAAGTTCCTCTTAAAATTACTCCTTTGTCTATGATGTGTCTTCAATTGTCAGTATAAAGATACGTAAAAAATCCTGTTATAGAGTTATTAATTAACCACTTCGCACTGGTGTTATTATCGCCGAAAATTTCAAAATTTTCAAAAAGGCAAAATTTCCCAGCCAACTTCTGATATAAAGCCAAATGCCACAAATACTGCTTCGCAAGAGTGATTTCAACAGTATTTGTACGATATATGTTGCCGGAACCTTGTAACTTTCAATACTCTGGCGCGTGCACTGGAGCGTTAATTGTACAGCAAAAGGCTGGGCACAACAGCCCAAACAACGGTCAGCACACGGTCTGCCTCCACAGACTACACCCATACTCAAATGTGTATCCTTGTGGAGAAATCGCTTTGTTCTCGTGTACAGAATCGTGAGAGGGTCGAAAGCTATTTTCGAAATGCTCCTATTTTGACCAGAATTACTTTCCTGGGTTGAAATTCCCACCAATTATCCCTTAAGAAAATACTTTAATTTGCAAAAGATAAGTATACCTTGGAAATTCCTAGTTTTTGAGTAAACTCCATATCTATTTCGTGAAATCCTTGTGGAGACATATTCATCTTTAGAAATATCCTTGTGGAGACCTTCACAATCTTTCGTTCCGTCATATACCCGGGTCTCCACTAGGCATCATTTTTCGACACACAAACTTTGTGTGTGTGTGTGTGTGTACAAAAGGCAGGAGGGATTAGCGTGTTTAGACGTCACCTGGAGGAGTGAGATTGAAATAAGAAAATAAATTGAGGCAAGTCACTTTTATACATATTTACTCAACGTTTGTCCTTTAGCTTTACAATGTTATATGAATTAGAAAAAAGAGGCTTATGGGGAATCATAAGCAAGTGCAAAAAACCTGGGCCAGCAGATTACAAATTACCCAAACTTTTAAAAAATAAGACGTTTTTGTTGATTGTGTTATCTTTAGTAAATTTGGCATTGTTGTTTACTTTTCTATTTACAGTTGCCCAAGAAAAATTGAAGAAGTAACAGTTGTGTCTGAAATTTGAAAGCAAGATACGTGATGGAAAACAACGTTATTATCCTGGTGTGTGTTACAACTATGAAATGCTGTACATTACAGCTTATAAGTTCATACAGCTTATAAAATCCCAATACTCTATGTATTAATAATAATAATGAGTATTTATGTAGCCCTTGTATATATTCACCAATATTGGTGCTTAAGGCGCTACTTCACTCTTACCCTGCTCATTGGGCAAATAAAAAACATTCCAAAGCAATCTCAGCTGCCATTTTGGCGCAAAGCAGCTACAATCAATCACAATAACCATCTCTGACCTCACAGGTACCCATTTACTCCTGGGTGGGGAGACGCAATGAGTGACAAATTGCCTTGCCCAATGGGCACACACACAATAGCCACAGGCTGGACTGGAACCCACAACCTGCAGAATTTCCCGCAGACCACGAACGTAAATGCTCCAGCTCTTGGCTGTTAAACACAGTCACTTGATTGATTTTAGCTGCAAGGACAACTTGGGACAAAATGCATGTTTGCAAAGGAAGGTTATTGAAACAAATTTGTCTAATCAAATAGTGTACTGGTTATATTTTGTGAAGTGTAATTATGCAAAGTTGTTTACATGTATATTTATTTCTTGCACAATTGCCCTGAAGATTTGTTTATACAACTTTTGTAACTTATTGGTGACTTAGGTAAAAAAATCCTCATATCCTTGTTAGAGAGGGAAGCTTACATTGTAGTTTGATTAATCACTACATCATGAATAAAGAGTCAAAATAATACCTGTATCTTTGTCAGTTTTTTTGGAGTTAATTCAGCGTGTTTAAAGACTACACCTTATCCACATCTAATCGGGCAATGCTATAGAAAGCACTCAGAGAGTGCAGACCTCCGCCAAGGCTAAACAATTCCCCGCCATATTGTCAGTACACCTAAAATAAATACTCGCATAAATGGTGAAGAATCTTTAAAACAAATCCTGGATCCGGACCCAGATCCGGATCACTTCCAAAATGTAATCGAGTTGAACTTGTACCAAGGAGCACAACAAAAATTGTTTTCATGCAAATCCGTCCCTAACTTTTGAGTTATCTTGTTAACAGACAAACCAACAAACCAACCAATATTATCCAATGAAAACATAACCTCCCTGGCGGAGGTAATAAAAACATCGAACATTTATACGAGGTGAGCGAAGGTATTCGCACAAAAAAAAAACAACCCGGTTTGAGAACGAACTTGACTGTACATGCATTCAGTCGAGTGTCTGCGCCATAAAGAATAAAGAGCTAGGAGATTATCGATTTTCTTTCATCTTCGTGGACAGGTGAATCGATCAAAAATGATCTATAAATATAACGGGCGCCCGCGATGAATTTTGTTTAGCCACAGATGGTGAGCGTCCGTTACTCTTCACATCATCTTTTATTCATCATTTGCCAATAGGGTACAATGTGTGGAATGGGAAAATAGATATTTAGTGAATTTTGTTGAAGTCATTTGAAACATCATGTCTGTAACAAATCTTATACATTGCGTACCTGTTAAATGTACACACGTATATTGACTACATTTAATTGTTGTTTACGTAGGTCAGGTATCATAGACACGTTAATAATTGATGCCAACGTTGGGGTTTCAAAGCCAGCTACGCTGTGCTTCTGCTTTGCCCAAGGAGTAAGCGTCATTCTACCTCCCTCGCATATTGGTCTGAGGTCTTGTGTCTATGATGCGTCCTAAAATCTAGCTGAATTTTCTTGAGATACATGCCTGACGCATTCAATATTCAACACTGCCGACGAGTGCATCCTGCATGACCTAGTTGTCCGTATCGTCGTCAATGTCTGCGTTCTGAGGTGCTTCGCAGAAGTTTTCGATCAAAGGCTGTACACCAAACTCCAGACGCTACATAGCTGACCTATATAGCTGTTGGACACAGATTTGCACTTGTAGGCTGCAAGTCTTTTCGAAAACCGAAGAAAGAACGTAGTTTCGATTGTTAAAACAATTACCAGTCAGGTCTTCAGAATCAAGACGTCATGATGAAGGTAACCATGATTGCCGTGATTTTCACGTCAACCGTTTTCATGCAAAAGAGCTCGTCTCTTCACTGTTGGTCAAAAGGTTTACGATACAAGGCGGATGGTAAATTAACGTGCATCGCAGCCAAACAGCTATGCCCGCCACCCTGGCTTGCTTTTCAGGGGCACTGCTACCTGTGGGTGAACATAACAATGTCCTGGATGGATGCTGAGCGCTACTGCCAGATGCTGTCCCTCCCTGGGAAGATGGTTCACCTTGCGTCCATCCATAGCCAAGAAGAGGATGAATTCATCAAAGATTACGTTAGGAGCGCCTCTGGCCTTGCGGATTATCCTAGGTTCTGGATTGGCTTCAATGACATCGAACGGGAGGGTCAGTTCCAGTGGAGTGATGGATCTGATGTGTCTTACGAGAGTTGGGGGCCAGGGGAACCAAATAACAAAAAATACGAAGACTGTGTCGAGTGCCGCTCAGATATTTACATCAAATGGAATGATGAGCCGTGCAGTCGTGCATCCGTTATAGTCTGTAAATTTTAGATCCCGTTTTGCTCATCGTAACTTGCTAATTTTATGTAACTTATTCATGTGGACACAGACATGCGTTTTACCCTCGATTCATCTGTAAATGTTGATCAAATAATCACAATTTGAAATATAGTATATAACATTGTTTTTTTTATGTTTGACTGTTAAATTAACACCGATTTGTTGACACTATGTGGACATCTTCAGACGTTAATTGTTATGGAACTCGTTCTCCGTGCATTCGTGAATCTTTTATACTGTAGACTGCATATTTTAGATACCACCTGTGTAGCCACTGTAACAGCGTAAGCGGTTTTAGACAATCCACCAAATTGGTTGGGGACGAAAAACCCTAACCATGCATAGCAACACTCTCAGAGGCTCGTTCCTTCTTTCGAGAAAGGGAAAGTGATTGCCGAAACTACAGTCTCATTCTTCAAAAGGTGCTGCCGTTTTGACAGTAGCGGCGATACGGGGAGGTGGGGGTGGCATTTGCCTCCCAAGTTTTGTCCTTGCCCCCCACTCCCCCCTAGTTTTCCCCGAACAAGTTATCTACAAGTAGATTAATTATGTTTGTTTTCCTCGCTGTACCGATTCATACAATTTGGGGTAAATGAAAGCATTAAAACATTTGTACTTAAGACAAAACACGCCACACCTGCATTCATACAGCCATAGATACTGTGAAGCCAGTGGCTGTTTTAAAAAGTGTTATACACCATACTGCGGTTTGATACATTTCTCATTCAAAAAAACCTGCCTTCACCTCTAAGTTGCTCTAGTGGCTTATTTCTGAACCATTGACAGTGGTACGCACGCGCGTACACGCGCTTGAGATTTTTCTTGACTGCCCCCTCCCCCAATTATTTCTTTGCCCCCCCCCCCACATTGCCCCCACCCCCTTCCATTATTTCCTTTCCCCCCAATCTCCCCCACCCCCAATTTTAGAGTCTGGCGCTGCCACTGCGTATTGATAACCTTAATAACAAATAAAGAAGGTTTGTTAGCCAAGACGTCGCAGTTTCCTCTGCAGTGTATTCATAAAGTGGCTGTTAGTGATGGAGCCGCAGGTTTTTGATAATGGTAATTGAAGGTAATACAGAAACCGCAATGTAATATTTATTGTTCTTGAAAGGATCTGGTTGGAGAGGGTCGTATTTTTTTCAACGGTGCATGACAGAGAAAAGCACCTGTTTATTAAAATTTATATATTTTAAAATCACCTAGATATGTGTATTGGTAATTTTTTTTGCATACTCGTGACCCGTTAGATACAGGAGCAGTTAATAATGGAAACTAAGTGGATGGAGGATTAATAATTTTTAATTTTAAAGTAGGCAGAAGGCTTTTATCGATTGGAGCATGACAATTTTATATTAGTAGGTCTACTGTATTGTTTGAGGCTGTTTGGAGTTTGTGGAAACTGTCCGCTAAAACTCGTACACCACTTGAAGATAAAGATTCTCTTTGTTTCAAAAAACAGCTCAGTCAGGCTGCTCATGATGATGAATTGAGTCAGAAGACAGTAAACAGTAATGGCTATTATGTTCACCTGTTTTCTGGTACTGAGTTTGGCATCCGTCAGTTTGTCGCCTGACGGCGGTGTAGCTGATCTCTGCAGCTCACCTTACTGCCCGCCACCCTGGCGTGCTTTCCAGGGGCACTGCTACCTGTGGGTGGACAAACCAATGTCTTGGATGGATGCTGAGCGCCACTGCCAGATGCTGTCCCATCCGGGGAAGATGGTCCACCTTGTGTCCATCCACAGCCAAGAGGAGGATGAATTCATCAAAGATTACGCAAGGAGCGCCTCTGGCCTCGCAGCTACTCCTAGCTACTGGATTGGCTACAATAACATCGCACGGAAGAATCATTTCCAGTGGAGTGATGGATCTGATGCGTCTTACGAGGGTTGGCAGCCAGGAGAACCAAACATCCGGGGAGACGAAGACTGTGTCGAAAGTCGGTCCCAATATGCTGGTAAATGGAATGACAATTCGTGCAATAAAAAATTTCCTTTTGTCTGCAAACTTTAGATATAATAAGTACATGTATATTGTCTTTGCTTTGTTTCCGATTGTTTCTTATATTTTACCAATGTAGAACGCATTTTGGTGCACCGAGTGACACATTTCAAAGTTGTAAAAGAATGTACCCGATTGCAATCACAGCTTGACAGCGATTGGTATGACATGCCTTGCAGTATTCAATATATTTCTATCTGCAAACAATAGATCCCTATCGTGTTGATATTGAAAACAATGTTACCGTCATTTTGTGCCACTAACTACAAAGGCTTTAACAGTCCAATGCAGGCCTACACCTAAATGAGCTGCCGGTACATTAACATTTGCAGTTACTCAAAGTAAGTTTAAATGGCCGTTTTACCTATTGATAAACTCTACTGTGTGATATTCTTTTGAAAGTGAAACATCTAAACACTCTTGAATCTTTTATTTTTTTGTCTTTAATCATCCGTATCATAGCTGATCCGAATACATTTCTTCCAAAGATGCACGAGATAATGTCTGAGAACAAATAATGTACAAATTGTATATACAATATGTATTATCTGTTTCCGTTCAGAAATTATTTTGGGAAAATGTCGATTTAGTTAGAGCTGCAGATTTCACTTAACATAAATTGTGCGGGTTTTTTTCACATGAGGAACTCGCATATGAACTTAACAAACCTCCCCAAGGATAAAACGCGTTTGCTTAAATGATTTCATTTCACCTCAGCCTATCCAGTTCGTGATGGCTTTTCTTACGTTAAACTTGACACACACACACACACACCCATCCATCCAGTTTAATTTTTTTTTAGAAATATGTGGTTGATTGTGGTAAAATATTGTAAACCATGTTGATTTAGATAGATTCTTTTTCAATTAAATAGTTTCTGTTTTTGCAACATCTTGTAGTTGGTTTAAATATTTCCTTTTCCCACGATTCTGACATTTTGGTTCTTTATATAATGCACTTATGTAACCTTAGGGGCTACTGTTGTAACACTTTTTCATATTTTTCATTACTCAGTCATGACGTATCAATTAATGTATTTGAGAGAAATTCTAACGTGTACTGAAAACAAGTGCGGAACAAGAACCGAAGTTGCCGGCCGGCCGTTGCAGAATCGGAAAGCTGGTGATAAGGTGGGGTTCATTTTGACTCATGGGGGCGCCATTTTCCTCCTTTTGTAACTTTCTTTTAAGATTCTACAAACCCGAGCAGTTTTGCTCCTAAAAATTGGAGTTGACACATAAGAAAACATCCAAAACACCTTGAAAATGGCAATTAAAGGTTAAAATAAAGTTAATTGGCACGACATGACCAGTACCTTTTTAAGGATTTCATTGAATTGTTCGATTACACATGCGCCGTTTAACTAATTCTTTTATCATTATTGCATTTACGCTCTGAATATTTGTTTAAATAATTGGATAACTGAGAAAGACGTTAGTAATGTAATAAATTGTTACACCAAATCGTTCAAAATTACCTTGTGTCTCTTATTTCAAACTGAGTGAAAATGAATTAAATTTGAGTAAAAACTCACTCCACATCAGTAAAATAAGGAGAAGACGAGATTAATTCATCCAGGCAAGACGATCGAATTGTTCAGTGAATCTTAAAGTCGCAAAAATGTCAAACCAACATAAGTGTGATATAAATCATCTGGGTTCCAGCCTCACTGTTTGGAAATAGGCCTAACGAAAGATAGAGTGATGCAGTCTCGGTAACGGACAGTTATTAACAATCTTATTTCAAAGGAATAAACATACCCATTATATTACACTCACGATGACACTCATGTAAATGATTATGATTAATGACATCTTTTACTGATAATCAAATATTGCCTTTGGAAAGCAGACTTCAAGTTGTTTCTATTTCCAACGTTTCTTAAGTCGAATGGACTGATCTCACTTCAAATTATGCAAATGGGCTTCTGATTTCAAGCATCCTTCATTGTGAAGGGCAATTATGGCGCAGTTTGCCATATCAAGCTTGTCCGTAGGCCCTACGTGCCACTGTCAACATACAACATCCCTATCGCCGGCCTTGGCCATTGGAACGACGTAGTATAATAATAGAACTAGGCTGTCTTTTGTTTATCTATTTCCAGACGTTTAACACTCGGCTCCAGCGACGTTGCACATGTAAGGGTTCGATAGAACTTGGCAATGCGAAATCATGAAAACAGGAGCGTACATCGCACAATTTCATTTGCGACATTGCCTTGCTCCCCAGCATATATTGCTTGACGGGCAAGACTATTCATGTAACGATGTGTCTCGAAAGTGGGAACTGGTCGATAATTAATAAACGGAGCAAGCGGAGCCTGCCTCGCTTCATCTCTGTCTTGGGTGTAGCAGCCTACTATTGCCGCGCTTTCATCTTTTGATGAATTCATCAAAGATTACGTAAGGGCGCTTCTGGCCTCGCGGCTCCGTACTGGATTGGCTACAATGACATCGAACGGGAGAATCATTTCCAGTGGAGTGATGGATCAGATGTGTCTTACGAGGGTTGGAGGTCAGGGTAACCAAATAGCTACCAGGGGACAAACGGAGACTGTGTCGAAATCCGATCAGATGTTGACAGTTAATGGAATGACAACGCCTGCTTGTATAACTATTCTTTTGTCTGCAAACTCTAGATCCCATTCATGTGATACAGTCTGTGATGTTCAAGTACGATACTCTGGTAAAGACTCTGGTAAAGACTCTGGTAATGGACTTACAGAAATTCAACTAGGAATCGCATTTCGTTTGTTTGTCCATGATCACGTACGAGTAACCTGCAATGAAGGTAAAGAGTAACCTAAAATGAAGTTATATAAAACCTTAAACAGCAATGTAGACTAGACCGTAATTATGTCCTGTTACAATTTGTGTATCCAGTGATTCGTGTTGTAGTGGCTCTCCACGATGATCAAGTAGATGCTTAAGTATCTAAAGAACAAAATAAAAATGAAAAAGTAGAAGCACTCTGTTTCGGTAATGCACCTTTTAGCACTTAAGATAGATTAAAAATTTCGTTGAATCTTTGATTGTGACCGAGAATCCAAATTAATAACGTATAAAGGCTTTGTTGATCTGCCGACAGATGGCAGTGTAGTAATTCGGAAAGGGTTGGCGTCGCGATGAATATAGAATTAGGCTAAAAAATAACAATTTGGTGCTGAGGACAGGTAAAGTGCAAATAATAGATAACGTTTTGTAACTGTATCTCTTTTAAAATGGCTCCAAATTGAATCACATCATCGTTCCGAATTGTTTAGCTTTTTTCTGTACGTATTCAAAGTGGATGTAAGCAAAGAAGCTCCACAGTTATTCGTGGTAAGAATGACGTAGACCTAATCAATATCGCCCCCGTTGCCTAAGCAACTGTAACTTAACGCCTCTCTATAAGCACGCACTCGGTTCGTCTTGTGTTCATTTCGAAAAAAAAACAAACCTTCGATCAAAATTATTATCGAAACGAGCTGAAACTGCGCCCGTTGAAAGTCGGCTTTAGCATCAACCTTGAGCTATCAAAGTAATGAGAAGCACGAGCCGGTCTTTTGTCACTGTTAAGTATCAATTATACAGTTTCATTTTGGGTACTGGCTTCCACTCAGTGACAATCAGTCAGTCACTCAGTGACAATCTGATTTGACGAGCAAGACTATTCCTTTCACGATATGTCAGGGAAATTGAAACCGGTCGATAATGCAATTAACGGAGCCTGCCTCGTTTCCATCTCTCTCTTGGGGTACTAGTGTAGTCCTCGGCATAGCTACTGCGCTGCCAATAACGTCGCAATCAATCAATTATACAGTTTCATTTTGGGTACTGGCTTCCACTCAGTGACAATCTGATTTGACGAGCAAGACTATTCCTTTCACGATATGTCAGGGAAATTGGAACCAGTTGATAATGCAATTAACGGAGCCTGCCTCGTTTCCATCTCTCTCTTGGGGTACTAGTGTAGTCCTCGGCATAGCTACTGCGCTGCCAATAACGTCGCAATCAACCTTGGTTGGAAATAAGAATCGTGTAATTGATCGGGTAGAGCAGTCCTTTGTTCATCTTTTTTTCTGCCGCAAACCAGAATTTTCGGAAACGCTGCTCTTGTAAAGGTTCGATGGGGCTAGATGCCGAATATAACAGGCTGTATATAGTGCTGTACCACTTCATTCGAGCAATGTCAGAATACTGGCATCAAAAATACGTGGTGGAGGCAAAGTTATATTATCACCGCGAATTTCGTTTCCTAAATATAGTTGTCATTCATATTACCCTACGTGTCTCATATTGCCCTCGTGTAAAGACTCCATAATGTTGGTGAAGTAAGTCAGACGACATTAAGACAGAAATGGGCTTCATATGTTTCCTGGTACTAATATTGGTATCCGTCAGTTTGTCGTCTGACGGTGGAGTAGCTGCTCTCTGCAGCTCACCTTATAAAGCTTACTGCCCGCCACCCTGGCTTGCTTTCCAGGGGCACTGTTACCTGTGGGTGGACAAACCAATGTCTTGGAGGGATGCTGAGAGTTACTGCCGGAAGCTATCATACCAGGGGAAGATGGCACACCTTGCGTCCATCCACAGTGAAGAGGAGAATGAATTCATCAAAGATTACCTAAGTAGCGCCTCTAGCCTCTCGGTCGCTCCTAACTACTGGATTGGCTACAATGACATCGAACGGGAGAGTCATTTTCAATGGAGTGATGGATCTGATGTGTCTTACGAGGGATGGGCGCCAGGGGAACCAAACAACAGCAACAATGGGGAACCAGAAGACTGTGTCAAATTTCGAATACGGTATGCCAGCAAATGGAATGACGGCGTTTGCATGCATGACCACACTTTTGTCTGCCAACTCTAGTTCCCATTCGTACAATATGTCAGTTGATCGCTACTCAACTTTAATGGCTGCAGTCTATGCATGTACAAAGGACGAAACTCTGGTAAAAAAGTCGAAGCTCTGGCAAATTCAATGACTCAAACTAAACTTGGATTGTCGTCTATGCAGAATAAAGCGATGTACGTCAGCTTATTGTTTTACAAGGATAACGTAACCTGAATAGAAGCTACATGACCTGAAACGCCAATGTGGACTAAACCGTAACGAATCGTTAAAGGTTGTGTATTTTGTGATTCCTGTTGTAGTGGCTCCACATGCAGCGAGTTTCAAGAAGATGTTTAAAGAATAGAAAAAAAAGAAACACTCTGTTGCGGTAATGCACCTTTATCAGATCTGCAAAAGCTAAACTCGTCATGATGAACTTGACAATTTTATTCTTGGTATCCACTTTAACTCATTCTATCCACTTCATGCATGCTCGACAGTTTCACGACTCACTGTTGGTCACCAAGTACAAGATGTGGCTCCATCAGTGCAGATCCTTGTCCTCGCCCTGGCTTGCATTCCAGGGGCACTGGTACATGCGGGTAAGTGAAACAATGTCTTGGACGGATGCTGAGATCTACTGCCAGAAGCTATCCTACCCTTGGAAGATAGCCCACCAGCCTACCTAGCGTCTATCCACAGCAAAAAAAAAAAAAAAGTATGAATTCATCGGTTAATACGTTGACGTCTCTCAACATAACCCTGCACCTTAGTACTGGATCGGTTTCAATAACCGAGGGAAAGAGGGAGACTTTGACTGGACGGATGAATCTGATATTCCATACACTAAACTGGGATGCAAACGAACCTATAAGGCAGATTTGGGAAAGACTGCTCTGAAAAGTACATCCAGGGCCGTTGGAATGACCGGGGCTGTTCGAGATCGAGGCCTTATCTGCGAAATGTAATAATGACTTCAGGTGGAGGCTTCGAGGCTTTACAAAACTCAAAAGGACATCATAATAACCGTCGCGATAACGTGGATGTAAGCAAGGAAACTCATTGGTTATTTTTTGTTGCAAGAATGACAACGACTCGATTAATATCGTGCGGGTCAGCAATGGGTTAGCAACTCAACTTAATCACCTCTCTATAATTCGCACTCAGTCCTTTTTGTGTTCTTATCGAAAACAATTAGACCTTGATCAACATTATAACCAAAACGAACTGAAACCGCGCACGTTGAAAGGCGGCCTTTGCATTAACCTTGAGCTATGCAAGTTATGATTAACACGAGTCGATCTATTGTCAGGGTTTCGTGATGTTAATTCATTAACTCTTAAGCTCTAGATATACCCCTGACTGTGGACGTGAACCAATTCATGACAGGTATTAGCCCATAAGCAAACTGGTCCACAGTTGCACATGTCACAAAAATTTACCATCCTCGGCAATGGTATTGCGCACAATCAGCATTCAAGTAATGTGTCGTTGATAACTAGTGGAGGATAGTTTGTGGCAAGAGTTTTTGAGACCTTTGTACTAACACTTTGGTCAGTATAGCAAGACGGAGATGGGTTTCATCTGTCTTCTAGTACTGATACTGACATCCGTCAGTTTGTCGGTTGACGACGGTGTAGCTGCTATCTGCATCTGCCCGCCACCCTGGCTTGCTTTCCAAGGGCGCTGCTACCTGTGCGTGAACCAACCAATGTCCTGGATGGATGCTGAGCGCCACTGCCAGATGTTATCCCACCCGGGGAAGATGGTCCACCTTGCGTCCATCCATAGCAAAGAGGAGGATGAATTCATCAAAGATTACGTAAGGGGCGCTTCTGGCCTCGCGGCTACTCCTAGCTACTGGATTGGCTACAGTGACATCGAACGGGAGGGTCGTTTCCAGTGGAGTGATGGATCTGATGTGTCTTACGAGGGTTGGGCGCTAGGGGAACCAAATAGCAGTGGAGACGAAGACTGTGTCGAGTGCCGATCAGTTCTTCACAGCAAATGGAATGATGAGTCGTGCAGTCGTAAATCCGTTATAGTCTGCAAATTTTAGATCTGATTTTGCTCACTGTAAGTGTGATCATTTTGTGTAATTTTTCATATGGACACAGACATAAGCTTTTACCCACGATTCAGCTGGAGATTGCAAAAAGTTTGTCAACATTGTGTAGTATTGTTTGATCCTTAAGTTGTTAGGGTTAATTGTTTCACTATTTGGAAAAAGGTCTTATATGTTAGATAGAGTGCTGCAATCTCAGTAATTCACAACATTATTGGGAAGGTCATTACCTAGACATACCAATTATATTACACTCACGATGACACACATGTAAATAATTGGGCTTATGATTAATGTCATCTTTTACTGATAATCAGAGTGTTGCCATTAGAAAACAGACTTCAATTTGAGTCTTATTTTCCCAACATTTCGCAAGACAAATGATGGACTGATCTCACTTCATATTATGCAATGGAGTTTGTGATTCCAAGCACCGTTATTATTGTGAAGGGTACAACAGCGCAGTTTCCAGTATCAAGCTTGTCCGTAGGCCCTACGTTCCACTGACAACATATAGCATCCCTATCGCCGGCCTTGGCCATTGCAACGGCGCAATATAAAAATGGAACGAGACTGCGTATTGTTATTTTTTCCAACCGTTAATTAACAGCCGGCTCCAGCGAATCAACACACGTAAGGGTGCAATTAGAGCTTGGCAAATTTTGTAAACAGAAGTGACCATTGTTCAATTTCATTTGGGGTACTGCCTTGCTCCCAGCAACAATTTGATTGGACGAGTACGAGTAAGACTGTTCATTTATTGATATGTCTTGGCAGTTGGAACCGGTCGATAGTGTTATTAACGGAGCCTGTCTCGTTTGTATCTCTCTCTTGGGTACAAATGTAATAATAATAATAATACCGAAGTCTTATAGCGCACGTATCTACCAACAATTAGGTACTCATCAAGGCGCTGGAAATTATGTCCATTATTAGAGACAGGTGATGTAGTTCTCGGCATAGCTACTGCGCTGGGAATTGCGTCGCTATCAACCTTGGTTGGAAAGTAGAATGAGTGATGTAATTGATCGGGTAGAACCAGTCCTTTGTCCGTGTTGTTTATGCCGTAAACGAGCCTTTTGAGGAAAAGCTATTTTTGTTAAGGTTCGATGGAGCTTGATAACAAACGTAACATGCTGTATATAGTGGTGCACCACTTCATTTGAAGCACTTGACGTTTCAGAATACTGGCAACGAAATACGTGCTGGAGGCAAACGTTATGATCACCACGCCATTAATTTCTTAAATAGATGAAACTGTCATTGAAATAAACCTTAGTGTCTGCTGTTGCCTCGCAGAACTACTTCCTAATGTTGGTGTAGTAAGTCAGAAGACAGCAAGAAAGAAATGGGGTTGATCAGTCTTCTGGTACTGATATTTGCATCCGTCACTTTGTCATCTCACGGCGGTGTAGCTGCTCTCTGTAGCTCACCTTATGAAGCTTACTGCCCGCCGCCCTGGCTTGCTTTCCAGGGGCACTGCTACCTGTGGGTGGACAAACCAATGTCTTGGATGGATTCCGAGCGCTACTGCCGGAAGCTATCCCACCCGGGGAAGATGGCCCACCTTGCGTCCATCCACAGCAAAGAAGAGGATGAATTCATTAAAACGTATGCTGGAAAATCCTCTGTCGACCCGCCCGTTTCTGGCTACTGGATTGGCTACAATGACATCGAGCAGGAGGATCGTTTCCAGTGGAGTGACGGATCTGATGCATCTTACGAGGGGTGGGATCCAAGAGAACCACGCGACATTGGAGGCGAAGACTGCGTAGAATGTCGGTCCGAGTATGCCGGTATGTGGAATGACGTATGGTGCACTATAAACAATCCTTTTGTTTGCAAACTCTAGATCTAATGAGTTGTCTTTTGCTTTGTTACCGCAACTGAAAGATAAAGTGACTGGAGAACATGTGTAACATGCTGGACACAGAATGCAAACATAGACCGCATATTAGCGCACTTAATGACACTTAAACAACTTATAATCGAGTGAAACTTTCGTTGGACTACCTTGATAAACTTTACGCTGCTTGGCATTTTGACACATTTTGTTTTCTTTTTATAACATTAACAAGAACAGTTCATTTAATTAATTTCAAAACGACCTTCAGAAAATAAAGTGATCTACTTCAGTCGCCATTACAATTATCAACATTATCAAAGAGAGATTTGTCAAACGTCGACTAAATATAGACTTCGTGTACCCTACGGATCATCGTGTCTTGTTTGTTAAAAATTAACGTGTCTATATAGCTCTCTTTCTGTAAAACAATACGTGTAATTAATGTTTATATTCTATTTCACCACAGAACTTTTCCTTGAGAATTTTACGTTGCTTAACGTTATTCAAAATATTAGATGCATACAGGGCCCCAATGAAAACCAGTTTTGAAATGCTCGGGTATACCCTGAAGAAAATTACCTCTGTGAAAGGCAAGACCGATTTTTTTACCTTATAAAGCTAAGTGCCCGGCGCCCTGGCTTGCTTACCAGGGGCACTGCTATCTGTAGGTGCACAAGCGAATTTCATGGATGGATGCTGATTGCCACTGCCAAATACTATCCCACCAGAGGAAGATGGCCCACCTTGCGTCCATCCATAGCAAAGAGGAGGATAAAGTCATCACAGATTACGCAATGAGCGCTTCTGGCCACGCGGCTATTCCTAGCTACTGGATTGGCTACAAAGACATCGAACGGGAGGGTCATTTCCAGTGGAGTGATGTATCTGATGCGTCTTACGAGGGTTGGCAGCCAGGACAACCAAACGTCCATGTTTGGACACACGAACATTGTGTCGAATGCCGATCAAGTTACGCCAGCGAATGGAATGACATATCTTGCATGCGTGAAAGACATTCTGTCTGCAAACTATAGATCCCATTCATGCGACATTTCAGTCAGCCTAAATAATTCTCAACTTAAATTAATGGCTACATTCTGATCATGAACAAATAACAAAACTCTGATAAAAAAGGATAAATCTCTTGTGAATTCAATATCTGAGATTAAACTGGAAATAGCGTCTACTCTGAGGTACGTCAGCTTGATTGTTCTATCGTGATCTCGTACAGGTAACCTGAAATGAAGGGAAATGACCTAAATCACCAATGAAGAGTAGACCATGAAGATACGTTAAAATGTATGTACATTGAATTCACGTGAGGTACGTCAGCTTGATTGTTCTATCATGATCACGTACAAGTAACCTGAAATGAAGGTAAATAACCCAAAACACCAATGAAGACTAGACCGTAAAGACAGGTTAAAAAGTATGTACTCAGTGGCTCTTGTTGTATTGGCTGCACACCGATGCTCAAGTAGATGCTTAATAGTTTAAAGAACACTAAGCAAGAAATAGTTTGTTGTGGTAATGTAACTTTTTGGCACTCGCGTTTAAGTTTGGTGATTTTATTGAAAAATTATGAACTTACAATTGAGTTATTGTATCAGATTGTTTTTAAGATACTCATTGTATTTTTTTTACTATGTATTCAATTGTGAACAAACAAACACAAAAATATCTTACACAATTGGCCCGAAAAATGACACAACTGTTTCGTTTAATATGAATAATTAAACTGCAATAGAGGAGGATGAGTACCAATTTACATTTAAAGAATTTAGCTTCAATCGCCAAATCTTTGGTCCATTGAATAGCGCATTAAAGTGATATGATATTTAATTATAAAAAAGAGCTACTGAAACATCACGCCCAGCGCGCGATCGTAGACGACTATTATAATGTTGGTATATAATCATGATTTCACACAACTCACGTTTTTAATTTTGTTCCACGTTTAACGCTTGTAAGCGTACATTTCGTTTTTGTTTCTCGACCAAGAAAGACATTCTCTTTGGTCTTTGAGTGAATAAAACGATGGTATTTAGCATGTCAAGCATATACCTGTGTAACATTCAGTTATTATGACAAACGTAACTGACGCGTAAAATGTAACACTTCGTTTGATTCCATGTTAATGAAGCTTCTCTTTACACTTTCGTCATTCATTTGTAAGCAGTTTCTTCGACGCTATTAATTAGACGTCGAGTTGGAAAGGTGCATCCCCAGGTTGGTGCGGACATCCAGGAACTTCTGAAATCCCCTGATCTCGTTCCCAGACCCATTGTCGTAAAAGTGAATGGTTCTTGAATCTGGAGTGCTGAATGGTGACACATAGCAACCGATGTAAATGCACGTGGTTATGTACAGATGCTTTCATCGGCTGCTGTAATGCCGCGCAGAAAGTATTGCAGAAAGCAACACAAATTTCCCAACGCATGAAAGACGAGTTCTATTTTAATGAAACAAAGACGTGGCGAATAAAGGGTTGTTTGGAAGGTACATTCTGTTCATTGTTCAATTTTCATTCTGCCACTTTTTCTGGGCGTAAATTCTGGCGGTCGTTCAGCTGTCAATAGCAGCTGCTTGTGATAGAACGAATTCATTTTGACCAGGGTGGACGTCATGAACAACGACGACCCAAGACTCCGTCCCTACATGAGCACTGTGAGGAATGTAGAGTGGCCTGAGTTATTGCTGCGTAAGACGAGTTCTTATAACTTATACCTACACAGAATAAGTGGTGGGCAGCCGTGTTGATCAGGCAAAACACATTGAATAGAACATAATGTAGCACTTAATTTACTAACAAGAACCAAACTGAAAATTGCATGAGCTATCGTGGCTACAACTGCTTCATCAGATCCACAGAATTATGGTTTTCGTACCTTGGAAGGCCCATTAGTTGACTGAACCACGAACGGGACTGGAGTGGTTAATAGTCCATAATCGAGGCGAGGTTTTCCATTTACCCATGGATGAGCTATTGTCATTGAGCTTGCAGTTCAGGATCAGCTGCGGTTGCGCCTGGGAGCTTGGGGAACCTACCTAGCAACCCTTGGCTGCAGCCGGAGTAACCAAGAAGGTCTTCGTTGTGAAGAGGTTATGGACTGGCGCTAAGGTAAGAATATTTATACGGTGGTGTCACTAAAATCGAAGTTTGGTGCATCAGTAACAGGGGAGATACTCATTCGGTTTAAAACCCAGAGTTTGAGCGGAGCGGGAGAGCAATTGGATGGACATGAAAAATGTTCAAAGACAAACAACAAAACTTTGTTGTTTGTTTTGTCAGTATCATGTTCATAAGACATTTTTTTCACGTAAATGATAGAATCCATTATAGTCAACGAAAACATGGTTCTGGTGCCGTGTGCAATTTTTTATGCTTGCCATCTTGTCACTCACTTGCGGACGTAATATTAATATCTTCTGTTTACAAAGAACCACTCGGGAATATAGGCAGCAAATCAGCGTTCGGATACAAGGCAGCAAATCAGCGTTCGGATACAGGGCAGTTAATGTAGTGAGGTTCTTTGAAGGTGAAATATCTCCACTTATAACATTAATTAATTGGAGCTTTGCCTGTTTGATGAACAGGACACAGGCTTTTCCACATTAAAAAAATACCATCTAAAATGTTGGTATTAAAAGAAAATGTAAAAGTTTATTATATACATTTTTTTAAAAGGTGATGACGTCATCATGACTCTACTTCAGATTTGCATACTATTAACAGTATCTACCTTCCCACCAACTTTGAAGACGATCAGAATGACCCTAATATTTTTGATTTTTTTTTTTTAGAATTTAGCAGTTTGATGACGTCATCGTGACGTCACACATTTTTCAGAAATTGTGTTCATATACCTATTACCTAACAAACGTAATACAAAAAGAATTTTATGAATTTAACATTTTGGGTTTGATAGATATGGTGAGAGAAAAAATCAGAACAGAAACAATGCTTTGCCGCTAGCGGAAAAGCAATTATTTTGAAATATTCTTTTGCAAAATTCTTTTTTTTTTTGCTTGCCAACAGATTTTGTTTTACACTTGGGAAGAGTTTTGGTGCCACACATCGCGCTGTCTGATTAGATAATTTTGCTTAACAATTACGAATTGGCGGTTAAGAAAAACATTGCAAATAAAAGACGTTGTTTTATAACAGTACTTCTTATAATTGGTGGATCAAAATACAAAGACATCGGCGAAGAAGCTGCCGCGGTTTTTGTTCGTGCTTGCCAAAAGATTTTAGTTTTGTAATTTAAGCGTGCTGGCCTCGCGCTGTCTGAATACAGGCTTACGGCTTAAAAATTACAAAACAAAATCCACGGTTATTGTTTGTGGTAGACTGACGTAGATTAAATCAATATTGTCCCTACGGTGCTTTTTTGTAATTTAAGCGTGCTTGCCTCACATCGCGCTGTCTGAATACAGGCTTACGGCTTAAAAATTACAAAGCAAAATCCGCGGTTATTGTTTGTGGTAGACTGACGTAGATTCAATCAATATTGTCCCTATGTTGCTTTAGCAACTGCAACTTGACCGCCTTTCAAAATATGCGCACTTACTCCTTTTTCCTGTTCTGTTCGTATTTTATAAGCCTAAATCTATCTGCATGACAACATAAAAACGGACTGAAACAGCGTACGTTCCCTGAAAGACGGCTTTAGTTTCAGCTTTGAATTATCAACGAAGTGGTTATCACGAGGCTGTTTTTGTCAGTGTTTTGTAGCGTAAATCAGATAGCACTAGATGCAGCCTTGCCTGTTAACTGTTGACGTGAACGAAGTCATTTTAGGCAGCCAATCAGCGTTCGGATACAAGGCAACCAATCATTGCTAATGGTTGCCGCCAAATTGCTTGGCCAATCAGTAAGCAGACATGGAAGTTTATTTTGAAAATAGTTCTCTCCTCCTTTTGTTTGGTTTTGAGTTGACGTAGTGAGGTTCTTTGATGGTGAAACATCTCCACTTATAACATTGATTAACTGGAGCTATGCCTGTTCGATGAACAGGACACAGGCTTTTCCACATTAGAAAAATACTATGTAAAATGTTGGTATTAGAAGAAAATGTAAAAGTTTTTAAATAATTTTTTAAAAGGTGATGACGTCATCATGACACTTCTTCAGATTTACTATTAACAGTATCTACCTTCCCACCAATTTTGAAGACGATCAGAATGACCCTAATATGTGGGTTTTGTTTTAGAAGTTAGCATTTTGATGACGTCATCGTGACGTCACACATTTTTCAGAAATTGTGTCCATATACCTATTACCTAACAAACGTAATATAAAAAGAATTTTTATGAATTTAGCATTTTGGGTTTGAGAGATATGGTGAGGAAAAATCAGAACAGAAACAATGCTTTTCCGCTAGCGGAAAAACAATTATTTTGAAATATTCTTTTGCAGAATCCTTTTTTTTTTTGCTTGCCAACAGATTGTGTTTTACACTTGGGAAGAGTTTGGTGTCACATATCGCGCTGTCTGATTAGATAATTTTGGTTAACAATCACGAATTGGCGGTTAAGAAAAGCATTTCAAATAAAAGACGTCGTTTTATAACAGTATTTCCTATAATTGATGGATCAAAATACAAAGACATATCGGCGAAGAAGCTGCCGCGGTTTTTGTTCGTGCTTGCCGAAAGATTTTAGTTTTGTAATTTAAGCGTGCTGGCCTCACATCGCGCTGTCTGAATACAGGCTTACGGCTTAAAAATTACAAAACAAAATCCGCGGTTATTGTTTGTGGTAGACTGACGCACATTCAATCAATATTGTCCCTACGTTGCTTTAGCAACTGCAACTTGACCGCCTTTCAAAATATGCGCACTTACTCCTTTTTCCCGTTCTGTTCGTATTTTGTAAGCCTAAATCTATCTGCATGACAAAATAAAAACGGACTGAAACAGCGTTCCTTGAAAGACGGCTTTAGTTTCAGCTTTGAATTATCAACGAAGTGGTTATCACGAGGCTGTCTTTGTCAGTGTTTTGTAGCGTAAATTAGATAGCACTAGATGCAGCCTTGCCTGTTGACGTGAACGAAGTCATTTTAGTTAGTTCCACCTGTGCAAACTGTCCACTGCAGGTGCATATGTCAATGACATTACCAAAATGACAGTAAATGACATTACCTCTGAAAATTGTATGTTTTCGTACAATCGGCATTCAAATAATAAATGTTGTTGATGAGTTGCAGAAACTAATTTATTGTTGCAAGAGTGGCTGACATCTTACCGATAATTTGAGTCAATATAGCGCAAAGGAAATGGGCTTCATCGATTTTCTTGTACTCATGTTAACATCCGTCAGTTTGTCGTCTGACAGCGGTGTAGCTGCTCTCTGCAGCCCAGCTTACTGCCCGCCACCCTGGCTTGCTTTCCAGGGGCACTGCTACCTGTGGGTGGACCAACCAATGTCTTGGATGGATGCTGAGCGCCACTGCCAGATGCTATCCCAGCCGGGGAAGATGGCCCACCTTGCGTCCATCCATAGCAAAGAAGAGGATGAATTCATCAAAACGTATGCTGGGAAATCATCTGTCGACCCGCCCGTTTCTGGCTACTGGATTGGCTACAATGACATCGAGCAGGAGGATCGTTTCCAGTGGATTGACGGATCTGATGCATCTTACGATGGGTGGGATCCAAGAGAACCACGCGACATTGGAGGCGAAAACTGCGTAGAATGTCGGTCCGAGTATGCCGGTTTGTGGAATGACGTATGGTGCACAATAAACAATCCTTTTGTTTGCAAACTCTAGATCTAATGAGTTGTCTTTTGTTTTGTTACCACAACTGAAAAATAAAGTGATTGGAGAGCATGTGTAACATACTGGACACAGAATGCGAACGTAGATTGCATATTGGCGTCCATCCATAGCAAAGAGGAAGATGAAATCTTGCGGCTAGTCATGGGTTCCGGATTGGCTACATTGACATCAAACGGGAGTTTTATTTCCAGTGGAGTGATGCATCTGATGTGTCTTACAAGGGTTGGCAGCCAGGAGATCCCCCAAATAAACGAAGTAAACGAAGATTGTATGGAATGCCAATCATCAGCTTTTGACAGCAAATGGAATGACAAGTCGTGCATTTTAACCGCCTTTTGTCTGCATACTCTAGATTCCATTCATGCGATATGTCAGTTAAACGCTACTCAACTTTACAAGGGTTGTTATATGAGCGATTCGGTTCACAGTTTTTATTGTGTTATTTGTTGGGTGTGAATTCTGGCAGTCCTTCGGCTGTTATTAGCATCTCAGGAGACTGCGAAGCGAACCACAGCAGGAGCCAGCTTATGTAGAAATCGAGCCACTTAGTACAACAAGAAGAGAACAAGAAAACTAGAGGTGATTTTCACACGTTTTCTGTGCTATTCTATTGTCCCTTCGAAAGTCCATTCATTTTGTCACCGTTTTCACGAGGAGCCACATATGTCAAAAATTACATTTTTTTCGATTTTGATTTTTTTTCTCACTGTTTGGCATTGAAACAATGTACTTAACCATTTTGACATGTTTCTAAAAGCAAAACATCATTAATTTCTAAGTTACATTAATGTTGCAAGGGACAAAAATCTCGATTAATGCATTTTGCGTTTTCACGAAGAGCCACATACATTTTGGCCCTTTGAACGCGTACAAAACTCATTGCATTGAAATACGTAAAAGTAGGGAAAATGAGATTTGCGTTTTCACGAAGAGCCATTATCTTTGTTACATTTCATTACATTACTTTGTTACAAAACTTCAGCTCTCGTAGAATCATGTGATGGTTTTCTTGCTGCACAAAGTTGTTGCAAAATGGTATTTTTGCCGTTTTAAAAAATGAGAAACTTCTTTTGCGATTATCTCGAAAACGCCTTTTCTTCAAAATCCACATATGTGACTCTTCGTGAAAACGGTGACGATTTAATCAGTCTTTTCATTCTAGACAAAGCGAGTGGATTATGATTTATCGCTCAAGTTAAAACACCGGTTTGATAACACTATCTAAACGTCTGTAATTGTTAATAGTTATGGAATTAACGAACACTAAAACGCCTCTTGAAATAGACAAAACAAATTGAACTCTTTATTGTGTATACATCATGCCCTTGAGGGTACATCTTGTTGTTTTCTTCGCAATTTCTAAGAATGATGCATTTTGTATTACAAGGCACGCAGATGACGTGGTTGTTGAGAACCGGGCTAATGATAATGGTAATTGCGGGTAATATACATCCGCAATGTAATATTTATTACTCTTAAAAGGATCTGTTCGGAAAGGGTCGTATGCGGGTAAAATACCATCCGCAATGTAATATTTATTGCTCTTGAAAGGATCTGTTCGGAAAGGATCGTATGCGGGTAAGATACCATCCGCAATGTAATATTTATTACTCTTAAAATGATCTGTTCGGAAAGGGTCGTATGCGGGTAAAATACCATCCGCAATGTAATATTTATTGCTCTTGAAAGGATCTGTTCGGAAAGGGTCGTATGCGGGTAAAATACCATTCGCAATGTAATATTTATTACTCTTAAAAGGATCTGTTCAGAGAGGGTCGTATGCGGGTAAAATACCATCCGCAATGTAATATTTATTACTCTTAAAAGGATCTGTTCGGAAAGGGTCGTATGCGGGTAAAATACCATTCGCAATGTAATATTTATTACTCTTAAAAGGATCTGTTCAGAGAGGGTCGTATGCGGGTAAAATACCATCCGCAATGTAATATTTATTGCTCTTGAAAGGATCTGTTCGGAAAGGGTCGTATGCGGGTAAAATACCATTCGCAATGTAATATTTATTACTCTTAAAAGGATCTGTTCGGAAAGGGTCGTATGCGGGTAAAATACCATGCGCAATGTAATATTTATTACTCTTGAAAGGGTCTGCTCGAAGAGGGTCGTATTGAGATTATTTAATGAATATTAAATATTAAGTGGATGGATGATAAATAATTTTACGAGCCTGTCACTCCTTTACTGTACCTTAGCCGGGAGAAGGCTATGTCGGGAGCATGACAATTCTGCCAGTATATGTAACTACGGCGTTGTCTGAGGCTGTTTGGAGTTTGAGCAAACTGTCCGCTTAAACACATCACCTAAAGTTGAAGATTCCCTTTGCTTCAAAAACGGCTCAGTAAAGAAGCTGACAATGATAAATTGAGTGTGAGGACAGTACACAGTAATGGCGTTGACCTGTTTTCTGGTACTGATGTTTGTATCCGTCAGTTTGTCGTCTGACGGCGGTGTAGCTACACTCTGTAGCTCACCTTACTGCCTGCCACCCTGGCGTGCTTTCCAGGGGCACTGCTACCTGTGGGTGCACAAGCGAATGTCCTGGATGGATGCTGAGCGCCACTGCCAGATGTTATCCCACCCGGGGAAGATGGCCCACCTTGCGTCCATCCACAGCCAAGAGGAGGATGAATTCATCAAAGATTACGCGAGGAGCGCCTCTGGCCACGCGGATTCTTCTAGCTACTGGATTGGCTACAGTGACATCGAACGGGAGGATCAGTTCCAGTGGAGTGATGGATCTGATGTGTCTTATAAGGGATGGGAGCCAAGAGAGCCAAACTCCCATGGCGGGACACACGAAAGCTGTGCCGAATGCCGCCACGCCAGCGGATGGAATGACATATGTTGCATTCGTGAAAGACATTCTGTCTGCAAACTGTAGATCCCATTCATGCGACATTTCAGTCAGCCTAAATGCTTCTTAACTTAAATTAATGGCTACATTCTGATCATGAACAAATAACAAAACTCGGATAAAAAAAGGACGAAGCTCTTGTGAATTCAATATCTGAGATTAAACTGGAAATTGCGTCTACTCTGAGGTACGTCAGCTTGTTTGTTCTATCGTGATCTCGTACAGGTAACCTGAAATGAGGGGAAATGACCTAAATCACCAATTGAGAGTAGACCATGAAGATACTTTAAAATGTTAAACATTGTACTCAGTGGCTCTTGTTGTGGTGGCTACACACCGATGCTCAAGTAGATAGTTTAAAGAACAATAAGCAAGAAATAGTTTGTTGCAGTGATGCACCTTTTTGGCACTCGCGTTGTAGTTCGGTGATTCTATTGAAAAATTGTGAACTTATAATTGAGTTATTGGTGGTATCAGTTTGTTTTTAAGATATTCATTGTAAAAATTTTTTTTACAATGTATTCAATTGTGAACAAACAAACACAAAAAAACTAACACAATTGGCCCACAAATGACATAACTGTTTCGTTTAATATGAATAATTGAACTGCAATAGAGGAGGATGAGCACCAATTTTCCATTTAAAGAATCAAGCTACAATCACCATAGTGGTCCATTAAATAGTGCATTAAAGTGATGTGATATTTAAAAAAAAAAAAAACCTGAAATGTGAAGCCCGGTGCGCGATCATAGACGACTATGGTATATAATCATGATTTCACACAACTCACGGTTTTAATTTTGTTCCACGTTTAACGCTTGAAAGCGTACACTTCGTTTTTGTTTCTTGACCAAGAAAGTCATTCTATTATTTTGTTTGGTGTCTGAGTGAATAAAATGGTATTTAGCATGTCAAGCATATACTTGTGTAGCATTCAGTTATTATGACAAACGTAACTGACGCGTAAAATGTAACACTTCGTTTGATTCCATGCTAATGAAGCTACTTTTTTCACTTTCGACATTCATTTGTGAGCAGTTTCTTCAAAGCTATTAATAAGAATATTACGAATTGGCCGTTAAGAAAAGCATTGCAAATAATAGACGTCGTTTTGTAGCAGTATTTCTTATAATTGATGGATCAAAATACAAAGACATCGGCGAAGAAGCTGCCGCGGTTTTTGTTCGTGCTTGCCGACAGATTTAGTTCAGTAATTTAGAAGCGTGCTGGCCTCGAATCGCACCGTCCGAAATACAAGGTTACGGCTTAAAAATTACAAAACAAAATCCGCAGTTATTGTTTGTGGTTTACTAACGTAGATTCAATCAATATTGTCCGTACGTTGCTTTAGCAACTGCAACTTGACCGCCTCTCAAAATATGAGTACTTACTTTTTTTTTCCTGTTCTTTTGTATTTTGTCAGCCTAAATCTATCTGTATGACAAAATAAAAACGGAGTGAAACAGCGTTCCTTGAAAGACGGCTTTAGTTTCAGCTTTGAATTATCAACGAAGTGGCCGTACGAAACTGTGCACTGCAGGTGTACTTGTCAATGACATTACCAATCCTCTGAAAATTGTATATTTTCGTACAATCGGCATTCAAAAGATAAATGTTGTTGATGAGTTGCAGAAACCAATTTGTTGTTGACATCTCTTACTGATAATTTGAGTCTGTATAGTGCAAAGGAAATGGGCTTCATCTGTCTTCTGGTACTGATTTTGACATCCGTCAGTTTGTCATCTGATGGCGGCCTAGCTGCTCTCTGCAGCCCAGCCTACTGCCCGCCACCCTGGCTTGCTTTCGAGGGGCGCTGCTATCTGTGGGTGGACCAACCAATGTCTTGGATGGATGCTGAACACTACTGCCGGAAGCTATCCCACCCGGGGAAGATGGCCCACCTTGCGTCCATCCACAGCAAAGAAGAGGATGAATTCATCAAAACGTATGTTGAAAAATCCTCTGTCGATCCGCCCGTTTCTGGCTACTGGATTGGCTACAATGACATCGAGCAGGAGGATCGTTTCCAGTGCAGTGACGGATCTTATGCATCTTACGATGGGTGGGATCCAAGAGAACCACGCGACATTGGAGGCGAAGACTGCGTAGAATGTCGGTCCGAGTATGCCGGTCTGTGGAATGACGTGCGGTGCACTAAAAACAATCCTTGTGTTTGTAAACTCTAGATTTAATGAGTTGTCTTTTGCTTTGTTACCACAACTGAAAGATAAAGTGACTGGAGAACATGTGTAACATACTGGACACAGAATGCAAACATACATCGCATATTGGCGCACTTAATTACACTTATACCATAGAGCAAGGACCCAAGGAGTTCGTACTCCAAGACTTCAAAAGTAAAATGATCGTCGCCGCGCTCGAAAGCTACAATAGAAAGCACATGGCGCCAGCTTGCTCAGTTGCTCACTACACTAATCTCGACACAATAGAGGTCCGCGCTCACTAATGCCAAAAAAGGAGTTTGCATGGCTTCGTAGACAGTACCATGGTAAATACGCATGCGCAGTTGTCATACATCGCTAAAAATGAATGATTTTGAAGTGTTTGTTCGGAGTTGGCTAATACTGGCTAACAATGTGGTCAACATCACTGAAACAATCATTTCATGAAGAACAAAATGCTCTGTACCTTTAGTGTGAAAACTTGTTAAATTTTCCAAAAAAACACATTTCATCAATGATATATTGCCAATTAAAATGTCTGAAAATACATAAAAACTTATCTGAAAGAAATCCAATTTATCTCCAAATTACAGGGACAGATAACGCTTTTAAGCACCAACAACTGCACATTGCTAACTTGAGTTCATAACTCACATCTAACAACTGCGCAATTGTAAAAACCTATCTTGTCGTAAAATATATTTTTCAAAAAAGAGCAGCGACGTGACATGACTTATTATGCAGCATATAGGGAGGTTGTTGGTTACCAACTAAAAAGGCGGCGACGATCATCGTGTTCAAACGCCGCTGGCGTTCACGCTTTGAATGGTCGAGGCTTGTGGTCACAGTGCTGTAGCTATAGACATTCCCGAGGGATTGGTATGTTAATGGTCAAAATGTAAATCACCCAAGTGTTCTGACTCCTTGGGTCCTTGCTCTATGCTTATACAACTTATAATCGAGCGAAAGCTTTCGTTGGACTACCTTGATAACATTTTAGGCTGTTTGGCATTTTGACACATTTTGATTTCTTGTTATAACGTTAACAAGAACAGTTCATTTAATTTATTTAAAAATGACATTCAGAAAAAAAGTGACCTGTTTTAGTCGCCAATACAATTATCAACATGGTCAACGTTATCAAAGAGAGATTTGCCAAACCTCGACTAAATATAGACTAAATATATAAAAAATATTCGTGTACCCGTTGGGTCATCGTATATTGTTTGTTAAAAATTAACGTGTCTATATAGCTCTCTTTCTGTAAAAAAAAAAAATACGTGTAGTTGTAAAAGTATTAATGTTCATAGTCTATTTCACCACAGCACTTTTCCTTGAGAATTTTACATTGCTTAACGGAATTTAAAATATAAGATGCATGCAGGGCCCTAATGGAAACCAGTTTGAAAATGTTTGGGAATACCCTGAAAAAAACCCTCTGTGAAAGGCAAGACCGAATATTACAGTTCAACACATGTTGACTTTATCTGTGTACACATTACATATTTGTTTCATACGGATTTAGTCGAAGGCGAGCAATATTGCAATTTCCTTTTACATTTGATAAATAAGCTGTGTGTACTCTAAAGCGATTGAACTGATGGTTTCTCCAACGTCAAACATGTACTTGTCACGCACTGAATTATTATGAAATACATAAAAGGCACGTATTATAAGCAAGCTGTTTTAATTTGGGCACGGTCGTATATTGTTGCCATCCAATTAAACGCAAGTAGATGACAAGTAAAGCGCTGTATAACGGCGTCGTGTTGTAATATTTGTCCATACTGATCATCGGCGAGCTGTTGTGCAAAAGGAAACGATTAATGTTTCATTGAAAAAGCAAAACTTAACTAAGTCGGAAACATAAAGAAATGGCGATCATCAGTCTTCTGGTACTGATACTGGCATCTGTCAGTTTGTCGTCTGACGGTGGTGTAGCTGCTCTCTGCAGCTCACCTTACTGCCCGCCACCCTGGCGTGCTTTCCAGGGGCACTGCTACCTATGGGTGGACAAACTAATGTCTTGGATGGATGCTGAGCGCCACTGCCAGATGCTATCCCACCCAGGGAAGATGGCCCACCTTGTGTCCATCCACAGCAAAGAGGAAGATGAATTCATCGGCGAGTACTCTCAAACTAATCGACACTGGATCGGTTTCAACGACCACGTGAGTGAGGGTGATTTTACGTGGACGGACGGGTCCAACGCATCCTACACAAGTTGGACTCCGGGTGAACCCAATAATGATAGACCCCAAGAAGACTGCGCCGAAAAATACGCCTCGACCACATGGAATGACAACTATTGCTTGAGATTGATGCGCTTTATCTGCAAAAAGTAGACAACTGCATCTGATTAAATCAGATAAGGTTAATTTTCTTGCACATATATTTGTGCTGCTCATGAAAAAAAAACGATGTCGTAGTTGACTCTAGCATATCCACTTGGCAACATGACTGGATCGGGAACAAAACGATTTCTGTTCGGAAACGCGCCGCATGGAGTGAGACTTTTTTTTCGAATTTCCGACTTCTGAAAAATCTAAGGATTGTCGCCGCCACCATCTTCCGACCAAATTCCGACCTTAGAGGGCGTGATGACCTGAGGACTCGATCTTCAATGACTCCACGAACCAGCATCAAAAATCTTGACAATCTCCTTTCATCTCTTCCTGAAATCTCCGCCCTCGGCCATGAACGATAAAAACCCTTCCCAATTGCTAGCTGACTGCCGAAATGCTGAGGATATTGTCAAAACTGCATTGAATTTCCCGTTATTTGCTGACAATCGTTATTTCCCTAATCAACAGAGGGCCTACTATAGCCTTGGGAAATGATACTTCTTTGTTTTGCAGTCGTCTCTGGATGGTAAGTCTCAATGACGAAGTGGCTTCCGGGCTGCGGGCGTTGAACCCTTTAATCATAGCATTTGTAGAGTACCTCATCATGGCGTTGCTATACCATAGACGGATTACTCTTAAGGCTGACTGCCGTCCAATGCCGGAACTGTGTGAACCGCAAGGGACACATATATAGAAGGAATACTTTTGGAAATGGGAAACAAACAATAGACTCGTACTGTACAGAGGTTCGATGCACTGACTATAATGGCATTGCTGACAAGATTGTCCGAAGGATCGACGAGTCTTAAGTCATATTTCATGAAAGATTAAATTTCGTCCCTCTTCGAGACTTCTCTCTCAGCAACAGGTTCCGGAACTACATTATGACAAAAAACATTGTTGTTTCACACAGAAGAGAGGAGCCCCTGATAATGTAACATAAAGCTGAGGCGTGAATGATCAACTGCCGCGAATTCAATGCAATCGGCATTGATATTGAGGAATAAAATGTGACCCATCAGACGTCTATAAACCTACTCAGCCGACAGAAATCTTCTTATCATACCCCCGATTACATGGTATACTCGGTAGGAGTTTCCTCTAAACATCTTAAGGATGCAATCCTTCAATCCTCAAAATATTTGCAGCCTTTTTGCTGGAGAGGACTGAAAAGTCTTTTTGAAGTTCACAAACCCAAACAAAAATTAATTGTCGATATTTTCAGGAATGGATATTTCTCACATCTACTGCTTGTTCTACGCTTGTATGAAGGAGGGCCGTTCAGATTGCAATACAACTGTAACATCTTGAGTTTTTATTGTCCAGTTTTCCCATTAGATTCCAAGCTCTAGTTTTCATTATTAATAGTACCATCAAACTGTTGTTTTTCACGGTGATGTAAAACACTGTGTAACATTGTATCATATGCACTCCATACATGTGTATATGATGACATCACAGGCCACAGCTTGACCTCTACTCAGCTGTTGAATACATCACTACCGAATTACTATTATAAAAACGTACCTGGATATAGGTCGTACAGGTACAAACTGACACCCCGTGAAATTATTCCATCTGGCTTGCAGTCACTTACATGAAATCAAGAAATATTGGAAATTTCCGCGATCAGTAGATTGTTTTTTGGAAATACAGTGGACGAAATCGTGTTTCGTGATCAAAAGGTTGTGTATGGTTTTTCACTGTTTTCTCGAAAAGTGTATATCTGAGCTGACAATCCAAGATCAGCTTTTGAACATTCCTCCTTTGGTTTTGAGTGATGCTATTACTGGAAGTGAACAAAATGGCATGGCATGTTAAGCAAATGATCCTATTTTGTCTTGAGGAATGAATCATTGCATTTGAAAACATTAAACAAAACCGGTGAACGCAAATTAATATTAACGTGAGTTTAAAACGAAGTAAAGAAAGCCTAGCCATTTTGCACGGGTGTTTTTCTTTTCATGAATTGTACGTCATCACTAAACGTCATAGGTACATCACGTATACACATCACGTAGACATGATGTGGGGCGCCTCTGAGGCTTTACAGTTGATATTAAATCAACACGAACGCAAAGGGGACAAATTTACCTAACGGTGCCCGGATCTTTCTTAAAAACGAAATAAACACATAAAGTATTTGCGTGGCGTACATTGTACAATGCCATAATGCGGACGGGAATAATGATTGGTCGTCAATATATATACATAAACATATTGTTAGTTTCACATTTCCAATCAAGAACGTGTGGACAATTAAAGATTTTACGAAATATTTGGTGATTTCAGTGGCAATTTCTGACTCTATCCACCCAAACGGTCTTTGAGTTTCAACGTCTCTCGTTTACGTAGTACTTCACCTATTCCTCCAACTTTTACTTTAAATGAATAAACATGTTCCAATTCTTCTTAACAACTTTCATCAAATTCCTGCAATGAAAACCAAATATCTAAACTTCCAAAAATACCTTTAATTCAAACCAACAAAATCAGTATTGAATTTGTGTCTTTTTCTTAAAAACAATGAGAGTTTTGCAATATCAAATTAATAATAATGATAATTATTATTATTATTATAATACCGGAGTCTTATATAGCGCACGTATCTATACCAACAATTATGTACTCAAGGCGCTGGATATTATGTCTATTATTTATTAAAGAAAAGTAAATAAAATTTATGAGAAATATGACACCCATTATAATGTAGCAACTCAAAATGGTTTGCAGCGGCGCATATTGTAGCCACTGCCAGAAACAGCTGGGCAAACTCCTTCTCTTAGCGATAAGTGCTACTGAGTTCTACGGCTTCACGTCCCATCCGAAGGACGAGCCAATAATGGTGAGCTCAAGAGCACAAGCACTGTGTGTCCACGGTCCGAACGTCACGAATGCCTCCGCCAACCCCCCCCCCCCCCCCCAGAAATTGACATTTTCCCGGGAGAAGGCAAATATGTTTTGATCACTCCGCACGCCATTACGTCCACTGCCAGTGGTGACCGTTGTAGCCGATTTTCGGCTAACTTTGATGGATTTTTTGTTACAAAACGAGTTTGACAGAAAATTTGACAGAATAGATTTTTTTTGGCAGTTTTTTTGGCAGAATTTTGCAAAAATGTTTATTTGACAGAAAACATAGCCAAATTGAAAAAAAAACTAAATGTTAAAAAAGCTCCAATCTTTCCAAACAAACCCTTGCATAGGCCTAATGGGGCAGGTTGGTTGGTCTAGTTGCCTTGGAACAGGACTTCGTCTTGACGCAACCGCGTTTTGCCTGAAATCTTTATGTGACTATAGATTGTTTATAATGTAATTTTAACCTTTATTACGGCAGTACTACACATCTGCAGTGTTTATAGTGTATTCCGAGTAATTTTGGGGAATTTGGCATATTTTTAATAAATCTGATAGATTTTTGAAGCGCATTTAGCAGAATATGGCCATGACCGTACGGTCACCCTGGTGCATACGTTACTGATTGCACTTTAAACGGTCTCGGGGTGGTTGCCTGCTGTCCTCTCGTGCGGAAAAAACAAACACTGACATCATAAGATCAATATCAATTTGACGCAAATAAAATGCACGTTTCCCACTCACTGCACTCCCTTTCAGCCCTGCGGTAAAGTCGCTTCGAATAAAATGTGTGTTTTTTTAACAAACACAGTGTCGCGTGAAATATAAATGTCTATAGGCGAGCGCGGACATTCGGGAGCATTATTTTTAAGGAATTTCTATGAACAAAAAAAATTGGGACAGAGCTGGGGAGGTCTTGACCCCCAAAATCCTTTCTAGGAACATTTCCTCCTTTTCGATACCGTATTTTTTCAATAAGTCAATTATTTTTGGTGAAATGTATTTTGGACAATTTTTGAGGAACAGCAGACAGACAGACAGACCGACCGACCGAGCGAGCGAGCGATCGACCTACCGCCAAGTGACACGTGGAAGCTCCAGGCAGAGCTTTATACATGAAAGTGTAAAGACCTTTGTAGCACTCACATTTGTGAAAAAAATCAATCAGTTGTACTTTCGAATCAGGGAAACCTGAGACGTGTGTCTCGCGGGGACACCTTTAATCGAAGTGGTGAGATTTAAGAGTGGCGTGGGCAGACAAGGCAACAATTGCCGATCGGTCTGTGAGACATCGAGAGTAACATCTTCAGTCATCAACAGCAACAGTTTGCAACGGCAAGCAGGATGATCACGAAGGGGTACGGGGATAGTAGCCCGGAACGGGACCGAGACTGGTCTGCCGAGGGATCCTTCGAGGACCAGGTATGGCTGAGGGCCGTCTACGGTGTCATAGCCGTGCTTGGCATCACCGGCAACGCCTTGGTCATGTTCACGGTGGCCAGGGTGCCCTCGCTACGCTCCTTGACCAACATGTTCATCGTGAGCTTGGCCGTCTGCGATCTCATCACCTCGGTGTTTCTTATCCCGCTTCATCTCGGTGAGTCAGTTTCAAACCTAATTTATTTTTCACATTTTCTCTTTGTCTGTTAGCGTGGAATTAGGAGCAAGCTAGCGGTGAGGGGTGGGCACACCACGTTCCGTTTGTGGTCTTGGCCCTAAAATCGCTCAGAAATTCAAGATTACACAACGAGCTTTTACTGTGTTGAAACCTGAAAATGGGGCCCTAATTGCTTCAGTTTTCCATTATACCCTTGTTGATACGCCAGTGATTTTGTATAGGTGCTATTTAGAATAACCGTTTGAGTGTAGCATTATGTTACAGTGTAAGGTCCAAAAACTTGCACTTGTTTTTTTTATTAAACAATTATCACTAAAATCAAGCTTTTCAGAACAGAAATGAGACGAAATGTTCGGAATAAGGCATTGCCTTCCTACTGAACGGGAAATAAACGTGCACAAATATGAAGCATCCGAATAATGTGGTGTGGACGTTCGATGACAGTAATTAAGAACGCGTATAGGGACATTTACATATACCTGCAAATGTACCTCAATATCTTCTGATTTAACGAAAAAAAAGTCTTGCTCAAACTTAAGATGGGACTGATAAATAGACCTACCCTTTGAAATTATTCCGCATGAAATGGTGTCATTTGCAAGAAAACAATCTTGACGGTCGTTTGAGAAAATGTGCCTGCGAGTACTTTGGGTTTTTTTTTTTTACATGCGTTCGCATATCGCGATGAAGCAAGACGCCTGACCTAGATCTGATAATTCAAGCACATAATTTCTGATAATTAACGAAATTAAGTATTGTCAACATTCGTTTTACTTTCGCTGTTTTTCATTTTCGTTAACAACTTTATAATTCAAATTTTTCATATTTTTATGGATTTACATTTCAGTTTAAGTTATACTTCGTGAAAATTGTCAGCCGACCCCAATCTATTTGATACTGTTTTAAAAAAAATACAGTGAACGGAACACTGCGAGATTGTTTTCTTTGCATTTTGTAGACTGCTCGATAGCCCCATCCAAGATTTGGAAATCGAGTTAAGAAACCATCGCCAGAGTGGCTTGTTTTCAATAAACCTCGAAAAGTCAATCAACATGAATAAAATCAGGTAACAATTAAGACACTCGTGGGGAGAAACTTCAAAGTGAATGGATGAAACAAGGACACACATGCTCCAGACTTGTTAACAATGTCTGCTGAAAGTCAGGTCGAAACAATTTGGCCATAAACAAAGGTCGGACAACGACAGCTGACCCCTCAATGAAGCGCAGATATTAACCGTCGCGAAATTGAAGTGCCCAACCTGCGAGTTATCAACAATCAAGTACATAGGAGGTGCTTCATTTGAGCCCGATAATTTATAGAAATAATGGGTACAGATGGATAAGAAATATCCTCTTCGACTGATGGTGGAAATTGGTGAGGCGTTCGGAGAGGTCGAACGGGTCGAATCTACTCAGTCCAGTCCCTCAACAATTAAAAAATATGGACATCACGATAACTCTGTGTTGGGATGAAAGCAGGGAGTCTTGACAAGTGAAGGGTCGGCAGCTGAGCTGCTGCGGTGAATTCAGCCATTTACAATCAAACGAAGAAACCTTGATTTAAGTAAAGAATCAGTTTAGGGCAAATGTGACTGCAGTGTGATGCTAATGGACATGTCTCTCTTCACTTTCTAGTGAGTGAGGCATAGTCCAATAACCATTGCTCCTCTTCTTATTTCTTGTTTTTATTGTGGGATGATCTGTTGAAACAAGCACTTTATAGCCATCCTCATTGATTCCAAATACAACTGAGATTTAAATCTTATGAATTAAGACTGAAACATTATTTTTACCGTCAGATTTTGTATTTTGAATATGGGGAACAATTCAACTCTTTTTCCCTAGAAAAATTTGTGGTTTTTTTCTATTTTCATTTTCAATTTTTCCTTTATTCGTGGAGGCGGGAAAACGTGTTTTTTTTAATTATATTTTTTAATGGATATTCATCAACTCGTAGACCGTTAAATTGGTATTAGTGGTGGACAGCTGAATTTTGTGATCTCATTATTAAAATAGACACGACTTGGGAATAGAGTATGCAAATTACGTGAAATGTTCACAGTTACTACTCATTAACATGTTCTTTATCCCAATTATATTTTTACAAAATGGAGCGTGCCATTTTATTTTTTTTCATACGGTCACTTTCTTTTTGACCCGCCATGTATTCATTTTTTCATCTGTGATAAACACAAATTGAGCTACTGCCATGGTCACACAAAAATAGAGTCTAATTGCCTGCCTCGTCTCCTTCCTAAATGTCACTTGCATTTGCATGAGTCGAGAAGAATTGTGTTCCATTAATCGCTATATGCTGTTTACGGCCATCACAATAAACTATTAATATATTGGCAATATGTCGTACGATGGCTAGGTACAAAACACAGAGGCCTGCGCACTGAGCCATGAATCCTAAAGTACATCTCGCCCACCACATTCAGTTTGTGACAGCGCCCTTCTATTGTGTCGGCCATATTCTCCAATAGGCTAATGGCGATGATGACGGCGGGCAGATTAACAGAAGATGGATCAGGCAAATATGGTTCATCAATCTTCTATAGTATATGTAACGTTATTGACATTAAACAAAAATAAAATGGCATTACATTTCAGCCTTAGCCAGGCCTTCTTCAGAGGTAAATGACAGAGGAACAAGAAACAAACATGTAGGGGACACACAAACATGCAGGGTTGGAAGGAGAATCACAAAGAGGGATGGGGGGGCAGACCAATCCATATATGGCTACCATCTCTCAATTTTTTTGGACTACATGTACATGACTGAAATTTAAAAAAATAAATCAATATTTTCTTGCTCCAAATTTTAGTCGAATCAGGTTTTAAGTTGCATTTAAATATCCGTTGGTGGTCATTGCTGAAACCAAGGGCTGGCTGTGGAGTTTAGGGTCCGAGTTCCTATAACAGATGAAACATCCACCTTTAACTTTTTACTTTTGTCAAGTTTCAAAATATTCAAGTTTTGCAAAAACCAGTACAAATTGTCGTACTCCTAAGTTAGAGTTTCTTCGTCAGATTTACACTTTATAGTAGTTAAACAATATAAAAAAAAACAATATCTTTAAAAAAGTGGCAAAAATATATGGAGTTCATCAAATAAGGTTTTCCCCTTCTTTAAATTAGGTTGTTTCCAATTTTTTAAATTGATTGTGACAATAACAAATTCTGTTGCCATGTTGTAATTTATGGCATGATGCAAACACGAAGAGCACTCGCATGACACAATAATTTAAGCAGGTACAAGTGATTCCTAACTTTCAATCACTTCCTTTACATCCCCATGAACATCAACATCTTTAGGACAGACTGTTCAGCTGTAATTAGTGTCTTGTTGTTTATTTAGATTATTGTTATTTATTATCCGCGGTCTCGGTCTCGGTCTCGGACCATTTCGGTCTCGGTCTCGGTCCGCCTTGAAGGGGCTGGTCTCGGTCTCGGTCTCGGTCTCGCAACTTCAGGTCTCGGTCTTGGTCTCGGTCTCGGACTATCCGGTCTCGACTACAACACTGGCTAAATGTTTGGGTTTTTTTGCGCCCCGATCTGTTGTGACTTTTTAGTCTCGAGTCTTGCGCATCTTTTGATACCAAAAACATAAAATTCGGAAAACGGGTTGCCGCGCAGCGAAAAATTATCCGGCGCTGCACGCCGTGAAAACTTAGGCCTACGTGGTGTACACGAAGCAGAACTACCATTCATATGAATATGAATAATTAATTGAATAATTTATATGAATAATCAATTAATATGAATAATTAATTGGCCATAATTTCAGATCCCTTTTAACTATAATCGTGAAATTTTGAGGATATGTTTATGTTAAGTTGTACTATGTATGTACCGAGTTTTATCATTTTTCGTCACCCGACCGGCGACATCTTAGGGGGGGGGGGTGGAATCCGTCCCCCTCCCTGGCTGTGAAATGGTCAAAATAACCCTGCTCTTTTAGCGTTTATATGGATTGGGAAAAGAAAAACAAAAGTAATGGAGCGAAAACACTCAGCGCAAGGCAATTATATTTCATATCTAAAAAGAGAATGGAAAATTTGATTAATTTATGAAATATCATCCACAGTTCAAACCTCCTTCTCTTGCCTGAGAGAGAGAAAAAATAAGGATCGCTATTTTGTAATCGGTGCGAAACTGGCGAGTTTCTCTTTACGTCTACAGGGAAATTGCACCAAATTATAGGGTCGATGAATTTTACAAGGCAGTGTGCACGTTTACACAATTGATCGTATAGATAGGACGAGCTAAAAGGCGCTTCTTGTTTTCGTGCCCTTAAACGAAATCGTTCACTCTTTTTTAGTATAGGCCCTAACAGTGCAGCCACTTTGAATATAGAAAAAGGTGAAGCCGTGTCTTTCGTTTCAATACACGTCCCGTTAGCCCATTACATCATTTGAAAGGGGCCCCTTTCAATTTGTTTTCCGCGTTACCTTTGCAAAAATGTTTTTTCCCGACCCGAGCTTTCCTGACTTTTTAGCCTTGAGTCTTGCGCATCTTTTGATACCAAACCATAAAACTAAATTTCCTATATATGTAGTGTACACAAAGCAGATTTACCATTGGTGCATATGAATAATTAATTAGCCATAATTCCAAAACCCTTAAACCTATATAGACATGAAATATCTTGGGTACGTTTAAACTAAGGTGTTCTGTGCATACACCGAGTTTCATAATTTTTCGTCACTCGATGGCCGAGATCTAAGGGGGGGGGGCGTAATCTGCCTCCCCCGGCTGTGAGACGGTCAAAATAACCCGGCCCCTAGTTAAATATACGAAATCTACTTGACATCCGTTTTTGGTTAATTGTACCGAAAAGTGCACTTTTTTTTGATTTTTACAAATTTCAATGCTTTACCTGAGGGCGCTGTTCCTGAGGGCGCTGTTCCTGTGATACCATTATAGGAAGACATTGTTAACTTAAGGGGTTTCTGTTCAAATTGCGAACCCCAAAACTGCGCACTTTTAATGGGGCGCTGTTCAAATCAGAGGATAATTAACACTAAACATGTATTACAGAGTATTGAACAAATACCCTCTTCAAAAGCAGACTCGGTCCGTATTTTCTGCACAGGCAGACATACCAGTAGAATTGTTTTGGTGTCAGAGCGGGGGGGGGGGGGTCGCATTATATGGTAATGTATTTGTTATGATAATAAAAAAAATACAAGGCTGAAGGATTGTCACAGGCCTAGCACCAAAAATGAAAGCACCTTACTGCAACATGTTCACCTTTATTTTGTTAAAGCGACTAGTCTTGGCCGAACGGGCTTCTTTGTTTTATTATTCTTCACTTCTGGCTATCCCTACGTTTTATGTTTGAGTAATAGCGCCCTCTTCGGTGACATGTAAAACGAATGCCGGTGACTTTGCTGCCACCAAGCGGCGTGGGAATCACCGATTCACGTTCAGACACCGATTCACGTTCAATGTGCAGACTGACCACTTCTCCCTGAAACTTACACTGCAAGAACTGGAGTGTTAAATTTAAACCATTAGTACCTATATAGGACCATCTGGTGTTAAATTTTACTGGAGTTGGACGTCCTATATAGATACCGAATGGTGTTAAATTAACACTACAGTTTTTGCAGTGTAGTCAGGAATTCTGTTCTATTTGAGCTCAATGTATTAACCTCCTTGGTTTTTTTTGCGATTCGATTATTCTAAAAATTAATATCAGATTCATAACTTGCTTTTCTTTTTATCCCCCATAGGATTCGCAATTTCCGTGCCACCAGGTGTTGCAGGCGACCTGCTGTGCCGTCTACTGCTGTCCAAGTTCCCCCTCTGGACCAGCTTCATCGCCTCAGTGCTCACTCTGACTTGCGTCACCTTAGAGAGGTACTCAAGCATCGTGCACCCCTTCCGCTACGAGGCGCTCTTCACCCCCCGGAAAGCCATCGGCATGATCATTTGCATATGGGCCATGGCCGTGCTCATGAATAGTTATTTCTTCTACATATTTTACAGCGACAGCGGCCGATGCATCATCCAGTGGCAGAGCACGGCCTGGCGGACGTTTGTGGGCGTGGCCAACTTCTCGGTCATTTACATCTTCCCGCTGAGCCTGATGGGCTTCTCCTACTGGCGGATCATGCATAATTTGCATAAGAGCGCCATGAATATGCGCCAATCAACGTCGTCAAATGGTACAGAGAACCAGCTGTCGAGGGATCTCCTCACCGCGCGCAAGAAAGTCGTCAAGATGCTGCTCACGGTCGTGGTGACTTTCGCCGTCTGCTGGGCCCCAAACCAGTTCATGTTCTTCGCCTACATGTGCGGCTGGAACCTAGACTTCTCTGCCTGGTATTACCACGCCAGCGTACTGCTTGCGTTCTGTAACTCGTGCATGAACCCGATCATTTATGGATTTAAGAGCAAGCAATATCGTGGAACGCTCAAGAAGGCACTTGGCTGTAGAAACAAAGTCGGGGCTCGCGCAAATATGTTATGTAGCATGACCAGGTTTGGTGGTACCGCAGAGATAAGAGGCTGTCCGGAAGACCAACGGCCGAAGGACTACATCAGGCCCAGGTGAAACAATTAATAATCATTTGTGGTTGACAAACCACATGGAGCTTGGTTCGCCTGTATGATACACCATAAAGAAGCAGAGCTAGCGCAAAAGACCACATTGGAAAAACTGAAGTGTTTTTATTTTTATATTTAAAGTCGACACATCATTAACATGCACTTGTGATTTGAAACTTGCTTTGCACAGTACTTTGTTCACAATGAAAACCACGCAATCGCTTTTTAAAGGGCCTGTGCAGTACTTTTGTCTAATCACGATTTCTTTAATATACAAGTAATTGTGTGTTTATATCGCTGCTACGTCAGTATTTATTTGTGTAACAATCTACATAAGGTGTGTACCATATGAAGCATCTGGAATCATCATAACTATCACCACTGTCGACCAATAAATAAAGTTAATCATATTTTTATTCGACTAGATAGCATAACTTATTAACATATAACATAATTTATTGTACACTTATGCAGTTATTTGAAACATGAAAAATTAAATTGTCTGTAGTTTATAGCTTGCGCTGTTTCAGTTTTCACAAATGTCAAAATATCGCAAAGGAAGTGTGAACACAGTTTTGCAGGATGCCGCTGACTACCAAGCTCCCTCAAAGCTTTAAAATACAAAGGAAGCTTCTTCAGTAACGATTGTACGCTTGGGAGTACTATCACAAAAGAGTGACTCGTTTTGTTAATTACATCGCGTCGTGTCAATTGCCGAGGCCAGCTGATTACAACGCTGTTGTCAGGACAACGTTGGGACAACAGATTAACCATAAAATTATGCCATGAACATCCACGTCACCTCTGTATTCCCCTTTAAAGAACGTATACAATGTACTTTACGCAACCTGTTACTTGAGCAGACGTCATGGACCGGCCTACATTTTAAGAGGGATTCCGAGACAAACACTGAAGATTTATTCCTAAAAAGCTGGAAATAGCGACCTGTAGTGGTGAATTTTGAAGCCAAATGCCGTTTGATTCGATGAATGGGCTCTATTGAAGCTTCTTCATATCAGTTGTTAATTGTACGCTTGGGATTCATAAAAGAGAGGCTCTTTCTGTTATATCGCTTCGTGCCAATCTCCAAGTCCTATTGATTTGGAGTGTTTTGAAGCACAAATGCCAATCGCAAGCACGGCACCGTTTTATTCACGTTTGAAATCAGCTACGTGACTGATGCGTTATACTTAAATATTGGAAATATATAGGTAGAATTCGAAGACTAGCTTTTTGTAAAGGCTATTTTTGGAAATTATCAATCAAACCGTACATGCTGTGAGAGACCAGACATTAATGGGGGATATTTTTTAAGATTTGAAGGTTTGCATGGTGGAAAAATACTAAGACAAGATAAGTTTGCGGTGACACCATGTGAATAAATCTCTTTTGTGAGTATGTTTGGTTCTGAAAAGAACTGGAGGGACTCAACGTTTCGAACAGTATGCTCTGCCCGTCGTCGGGAGAATTTTTTACATTGCCTTAGTCTAGTTCCCAGACGTATTTACTTAAAACTGAATGATTCTTAAGTCAGGAGTGCTGGATTGTAACCAGTACTGATTGTAACACACAGAAACCGACGAAAAAGCACGTGCTAATGAAAAGAGGTTTTAGCCTCAGTTCAGCTGACCATGACGTAATACCTCCCACGCCCACAGGGCGGTGCGGCATTCAGTCGAGCCAATGAAAACATCGTTGCATTAGCACGTGAGTTTTCGTCGGTAGCTAATGTGTTACCATTCAGCACTCCAGACCAGACTCGACTCAAGAACCATTCAGTTTTACGAAAATGGGTCTAGGAACGCGATCAGGAGGTCTTAGAAGTTCCTTGATGTCCGCGCCAACCTATAACTCTGGATAATCTATTAGCTGCTAGAAGGGCAGTCACAGGCCACCATATTACAACTCTCATAACAATAAACGTGCAAAGAAATCTATTATAATTTAACATCTTAAACTCTTCATCTTTTTTTGTTAGGCTTTCCCGGCTATTTTAAAACGTTTATCATTCGAATTCACCGTTTCTTTTATTCAAATTCGTCCATGAACATTGATTTAGTCCACTTCAGATGTTTAATTTCATCTTTTGTCAGACAATTTCAAATTCATTTCAAGCAAATTCAAACAATGAATACACGTTTTCCTATACTTGGGTATTCGATTTCGTCTCGTCTATGCCAAAACTTGTTATTCAGAAATCAAATTCGTCTAATTGATTTATATAAGACGAGTTCAATCCCGGAATGCTGCCATTTGTCAACAGCTTACTGAATTAGATCTGTAATGACGAATATTCGCGACCCTGTGACTTATTTTAAAGAGGGTGACCACATTTTGAAATTGAATGGTAAATGAATAAATTGGGTTTGTTAAAAGCGTGTGGAATTTTTCTCGGACGAAATTGAATGTAAATTTTATTGAATATGAATGAAAATGTTTTTTTTTTAAGTCGGGTAATGCAGTCATATTTTAAAAAGTTAAAACTAATGTTTGACTATACATTTATTTTTTCATCAATGTTCGATGGGAGTGGTTCATACTGGTTCCCGTAGCATATCCAAATGGAGAGATTTGAAACCAGCGCGTAGCTTCAAATGCATGTACAGCGCGCAATGGTCGATGAGCTATCCACGTTTTTACATATGAAGATCAGTGGGGCTACACCTTTTAAAGGGGATTCAAAGTTAATTACTGAGACTGCTTCACTATGTGACATCAACTAAACTGTTTTATTAGCAATTAAAAGCGAATAGTGTTTCCATCCAGTTCCTTTAATTTTTCGTAAATCTGTTTCCGAAAAAAAAAAACCATACAATTATGCGCCTGTCAATTGGTCACCGTCACCACGAAGTGACACTAAAGCACGGTTCATACTCGGCGCGAAAGCGAAAGCGAACGCGAATTTGTGACGACATGGCAAGTATTCGCGTTGCGAATTCGCAAAAGTTGAACACATTTCAACTCGGACGAATTTCGCAGCGAATGTTTCATGACGTCAACTTCGCTTCGCATTCGCTTTTGCATGAAGTATGAACCGCGCTTCACATCGAAAAATCGATATTTTGCGATTTTGATATTTTTCCTAATTTGTGATTACTGACACATAATCTATCACCTTTTAAGAAGTTACTATAGGCCTACACAGAGTTAATTAGTTTTGTCAAAATATTAATTGACATTAATTAACGTTTGTAACTTAATGGGTAAAAACCAGAAAATGCGTTTTTACGAAGTGTACTATAGTACCATTCTTTCGCGTGCAAACTGCCTGCACACTACGTGTCAAAAACGGGTTTTGCGTTTTCACGAAGTAACACAAATGCCACGTGATATGCCCAACCCATTTTTGGCGTTTTCGCTAAGTAACGCTAAGCCCATAGATAATACACATATGCTAAACGTCACTTCGCGAAAACTCGAACATAGCGTTCTTATCTGATTTTTGAGTTTTCACGAAGTGTACTTATGGTGAATTAGTTTGATTACTCATTAATAACTATTTTGTTCAATAAAAATCATATATAAACGTGCCATTCAAGATCCCAGCTTTCAGACAATGCAACAAAATATGACTTTTGCGGCTAAAACGATATTCAGACCACCGTTTCAAAACATCGTCAACTGAAATCACTAGTATCTCGAAAAACACATATTTTCCACTTTGCGGGGATTAAAGTCGCTTCGTGGTGACGGTGACGTTGTTTACCCCACTGCTCCCCCACCAGGGACTGCCACACCCAAGACGTGGGGACTGTCACTTTTGAAGTTACAAAATCAACACCGGCCTCGGGCAAAATGTATGTGACAATCTCCGACCGTGCTCCGACATACATACGTGGGGAGCAGTAGTGACTGCCTTACCATGTTGTACGCCAATGGTAACAATGTATTTTGAGTGACCAAAATCCTCACCCTGGGTCTTGAAAAACGTGACCAAGTCCCAACATAGGACCGTGGGGCAGTGTGTGTGTGTGTGTGTGGGGGGGGGGGGACATTTGACAGGCGCATTACGTCAAGCAGCGAGCAAGTATGTATCATTTTCGTCAACACACCAAATGACATTTTCATCGTTCACTTCATCTTTCCAGATGAAGCAATAGGCTTATCATATATATTAAAAAAAAAGATAAATGTAGACAGATAATGTGCATGATATGATAAATAGGTCGTGCCGAATTATACGTGGCTGCGGCCGCAAATCACAACCATGGACAGGTGTAATTTCAAGCCGCAGCCCGGTAGTTCGGACACGCCCTTTTGTAAATCTAACAAAAACCGAATAATCGTGACACCACACGTAGCCTTGACCAAGGCTGTCAAGCTTGTTCCCCGGACGAGCTTGTTCCCGCTACCGCACACCGTACCTGTACAGCTTTAGTCCAAAGCTCAACGCAGCGCACACTAGCCACAACGGTCCCCTGAAATTCTTCTGCTTGTGCTTTGCCTGCACAAGTACATGTACGTGCAGAAGCACAACCAAGGGGATCGTTAAGGCTGGCGCTAGTACCGGTAGTGTGCGTGGCGGTGTGCCAATAGTACAACTACATGTACAGGGATACCGGACAAAATTAATCAGCCTAAGCTGAACAGTATTGGGAACAAGCTTACTTGGAGAACAAGCTTGACAGCCTTGGTGAAGGCTACATCACACTTGGTTTTCTCTGTAACTGAAAGGTAAGCTGAATTGTTTACAAAACAACACACGAAGGGTTTCATTAATACGATAATGAGAATAAAATTAGAGCTGTCGCATCAACAAATTAACGCTTAAATAGATAAGTGCCTCTTTTGGTAGCACATAGGTGCATAACGTAAATATTGAAAATGACTGCAAAATTGAATTAAAGCTGACATGCAAGCTCTTTACACCGAACATATAAACGCTAATAGAAAGTTTCAAAGTGATAATCAGATATGCCATAAAGGGCGTCCGACTAGGTGCATGCATAATATAGCTATAAAGTGGGGCGAAAAGATTGACATGAGAGGGAGTTGAATCCGCAACCTACACATTACCTTACCGGTAATTCGGAGCACTATTCCGGCGGTTACAGGTTCGATTCACGCTCCTATCAGTTTCTTCGTTCAATAATAACTATAATAATAACTAGATTTATAGTGTCCTTGTTGATATCGTTCTCTACACTCTGTTGATAAAAGATTTTTAGCATTATTTTCTTGACTTTTAGTGCGCGTTACAACTTTAACTATATATGACATTAATATATCACTGATTTCGACAAAAGGTGAGCTTAATGATTTCACACAAAGTGCATAAAGTGTTTTAATAATAATAAAGATTATGAAAAATTACAGCTCACACATTTCACACCGGTCAAATCAACGCTAGTTTTGCGGTCACAAATAAGTTTTGCGGTTTATAGGGCGACACATTATGTGTTGCCCTAATAAGGTGTGTCGCCCTATTAGAGCAAAAGGTGTGTCGCCCTAATCGTTCAATAATAGCTATAATATTAACTAAGTTAGTGTCTTTGTTGCTATCGTTCCATAAACTCTGTTGGTAAAAGATATTTAGCATTATTTTTCTAACTTTCAGTGCGCGTTATAATTTCAACAATTGTATGGCATTAATCTATCACTGATCTCGACAAATGGTGAGCTTAATTATTTCACACAAAGTGCATAAAGTGTTTAAATAATAATAAGATTATGAAATTTAAAAAAACAACTGACACAATTTCACACCGGCAAAATCAACGCTAATTTTGCGGTCTCAAAAAAGTGTACCAAAATCAAACAATTAGGTTAGTTAAAATTTAAAAAGAAAAAAGAAAAAAGGGACACTAACTAGGTGCGTAAGAAGCCATCATAGAGTAATTATAAAGCTGACCAAATACATTGACTGTAGCGGAATTAGAACTTTCGACCGGTCGATTAACTGGTAGAGGTTCAAATCCAACTCCGCGCTAAGTTTATTTGTTCAACCTAATAAATATTGAACAAAGACATATGACATAATTAGGAGCCGCATGGATAGCATGGATAGCTCAGTTGGTAGAGCACCGGAACGGCAATCCGGAGGTCGCAGGTTCAAACCCCGCTCCAGTAAATCTCTTATTTAACAGTTAATTATAGTATAAATTAATCTTAAATATTCTCACATTGGTCCGAACCCTTAGTGCTGAAATTCAGCATTTTTGTACGTTTCAGTACGCGATACAATTTCAACTATAACATTCATCCATCAGCGATTACTCCAACAAAATTAAAGATTTAAAAATATAGTACATTTGCTTTTGGTGGAATTTTTTGTTTCATTTGAAGCAACAAAATCTCTCAAAATCTTAAGACGGGTGCATTGCAACTAACTTGTTAGTGGATATACTAAACAATTTGAGAAATCAGAGAAAAAGTATGCACAATTATTGGGGTATTGCAACTAAATTCCGTTGCAAATGCATGTAAAAAAAAAACGGTGCCCGCGAGCACATCTACTTAAACCAGTTAAATAATTACACATGGTATTTGGTACCAGCCCTATATTCAATTGGAGCAAGTGCTTTTTCTCGTTAACTCGGTAGGTACGTTTCAGAGTAATACAAATGTACCTACGTGCCTTTAAAAGTAACGGCATATAAGGTTTATTTCTAACAATTGTGTTTCAGTCTATGATATCATTGAATTTGAGATATACTACAATGGTGGATATTATCAATTATACACAACACATGACTTTTTAAACTCTTTATTAAAAAACAACTTTAATATTGTGCAAAATATAAGACAGAACGGCAACTCTATGCATTCGTTTGTAAAAGGTTATTGATAAATTGTCCTATTATATAGACATTGTGGAAATAACTTATTATCAAAAAAAATCTGGGTGCCGCTAGAGGGCGTGTGGGGTGTCACCACCGCCAGCATTTCGTTTTTGGTCGGACAAACCATGTAACTACTCTTAATAAAATGGAATAGTATGTTTCATGACTTAAATAAGTCGTTTTAAAGATTTTGTTTATTCATCAAAACAGCAATCCCATGCCAAAATGCACTCAAAGCACACCTTGGACGTCTGCTGCCCATAAATTGGCGGCGACATTAGGCTGTCCTCATTCCAATGAATTAAACTATGTTCATAAATTTTGACATGGGATAGCTAATTTGTAACTCATGAACAAGAAATCTTTGGAATGGTTTGATAGTTAGATCGATTTACTAATGATTTACTATGATGAACCATATCATGCACCAAGGGCGGATCCAGGGGGAGGGGCAACGGGGGCATTCCGCCCCCCCCCCAAAAAAAAATGCTGAGCATAGTTTAATTCATTGGAATGAGAACAGCCTAATGTCGCCAATTTATGGGCAGCAGACGTCCAAGGTGTGCATTGAGTGCATTTTGGCATGGGGTTGCTGTTTCAATGAATAAACAAAATCTGTAAAACGATTTATTTAAAAACGAACCCATTTTTTGTGTGACGTTGCAATGATTGTGTTCACCACAATCTTTTTCTCCAAAAAATCTTTTTCTGCCTCAGAACGCACCACAGAGCATCTAGAATAAAAAAAACGTAGGCGGGCCCCGAACCCCATGCCGTCATGTTGGGTCCCACTTTTGGGGGACCAAAACTAGAAATTAATAGCCTGGGAAATACATATAAATGAAATTTGAATAAACACCACCATTTAAGATGAGATCACCTCGACAGGATTCCATTACATAAATTTCGCATACAAACCAAATATTTCGGGATTAATCTTTTTTTTTCGCTACACCCTGTTTACTTCAAAAATACTGAAATGCAAATTTGATAATTTTTAGGAATGAAATAAGTTGTTCGTGCAGTGCGCATTATGACTGCAACGTGATTATGTACGAACAATGTGAACTATCTTCGCCAAGTACTTTCGAGCATCAAAATGATCCAGTTGAAGAATTAATTACATAATTCGAAATGATTCAATAACTGATGCAGACTATAATAAATGGCGTATGGTTCGATTTCAATTTTGTTTTGCCTTTATGGATATTGACGAATTTTCATGCTCGCTTTTTTGAAATATTTGTCTGGCTCCCCCTGGCCATTCCATGGGAGACCATTGAACGGACCACGCACAACATAAAACTTACCACTAAGATTTGACCCGTAGCACCAGTTATACCACCACGCCCCGTTGTTGTCTTGGGCACAGCTACCGGCTTGATAATTGTCATTGTCCTTATCCCAGGTTGAGAACAACATGCCATTGTGCTTGCTTGTCAGTGCGTCTCCTGCCGTGCTGATGTCATTATAAGAGCCGACCGTGAGCTGATAGTTGGTTCCAGAAACTCCAAACTCTCCATATTCCGCGTACACCATTACATTGTCCCAGTCCACCAGATCAACCCGAAGCTGCCATGTTCCCAAGGCCGTCAAATTGCGTAAGATGTCGTTTCCGATCCAGAACTCACCAGAGAAGTTGCCAAAGCCTACCTGGTAGTCAGCCCAGCCGCGGTAGAAGTTAACGCTGCCATCTTGACGCCTCTGGATGACGATCCATCCTCCAGCGTCAGTCTCCATGTCACAGTAGACCTGTAAGCCATCATTGCGGACACTAGCCGGGAATATGGTGTAGATACCGCTCGCATCATGGCCCGCTTGCAGAAACTCCTTGCAGCTACAGTAACACCTCCACACAGAGAAGGAAGGTGTAAGTGCATCCGCATCGAAGTACACGCTGTCGCACGAGATGCCAAAGCTTCCTGGATGCTCCTCTCTAGAGCTGTTATTGAGGTGACAGATGTGACGGATAGGGAGATAATTGACAGACAAGCAGCCAGAATCAGCATGGCAATCTCTCACACACAACACGTGAGATTTTGCAAGAGTTTGTCGGTATGGAGCTACCTGCAGGCGTCTGCTAACCGCTGGTAGGAATTCTCTTTTCACCTGATGACTACAACTTGAAGACAATGTCCCAATTGCAGATATGGTAGTGACCGCTACAGCAGCAAAGGCAAGAATCACACACTGAAGAAAGCAAGGGACTTGCAGTTGTGGAGCAAACGTAGCCATTTTTGCTAGTAAGATGCTTTCTTCAAATTTCTGTCTTGTGTGAAAACTGTGACAGTCTCAGCCAAACGTCAACCAAAGTGGTGATACTGATCAAATCGTAAAACAGTGGAACAATCGCCTGCTCGCTATCGCTGGAGCTCCACTGAAGTGACAGTATGCCAGAATGAAAACTCATTTTGTTTTTGTCCACAAGCATTATATCTGGTAAATTACTATCGATTGCTTAGCCCTAGACAGCATCAGTCTTTTTCCTAAAGGAAGAATAAACTTGATGCACGTGATTGCAATTTCTCGTCAAGTACGCCTGATAAGCCAGGCTCAGGAGAATATAATTGCACCGACCGGCCTTCCGATCCTCTATGATGCATATTTATTACAAATCACGAGCAGGAGCAACCTCGTTCCCATGGTGTCGAGCAGTGCACTCCCACCACTACCTGCTTTCACATTCAGTGGTATTGGATCATTTTGACTGTTCACGAATCTGGCACACGTGTGCAAATTGGGTTAGGTGCGGAATAGTCTGGTGCCCGGCTGTGCTTTACATCGGTATTATTTTGTTTTTGTATGCGGTGTCTGATGGGTATTCGTTGTGATGTCGATCCGAAAACACTATTTTCTTTTCATATTTAAACGTTACAGTCTTTTATATCCATCCAATATGCAGTGTCACATTACATATGGAGAAGGGAGGGTGGTTGTTTTTTGGGTGGAGTTGGCTTAAATAACAGTGAACGTTAAAAATTGTGTAACTACACGTTGGAAATACAAAATACCCAAGTACAGGGTACATTATATAAATTCATTACTTGCTATTGCTATATCGAATCAGGATGCAGGAAGCAAGTTTTTCACCCAGGGGTTACCATTGGAAACGATGCTGCAACAAAGTAACTCATGGGGACGAGGTTGGAGCAGGCGTTGTTTTGAAATCAGTCTGTACTGGCGAAGATGACTTTTCTCATATTATCGGTTGCTCCGCCCCAGACAATAACTGCAGTGTTTTTCCTGAAGAAGTAGGATACACGTGTTGCAATTTCTGTTCACAATACACGTAATATGCGAGGCCCGGCCGGTGACTATTATTGCTTCGACTAACCTTCCTCTGTATAGTTGGCCTAGCAACGCGTACCAAACGGGTAAATTAGTTTTTGATTGCAAATTACGAGCAGGAGTTGTTTTGAAATCAGTACGCCTGATTTTGTCTAATGCTGGCATCTGAGAAAGCCACATTATTAGACTGGGCTCCGGCTCCGGTGAAAATCATTGCTTCGGACTGACATATAGCTTCCTCACATGATGCAACTGGACGAACCAAAGAGACACGGTGCCTGGTATTCGGCAGGCTCTGATTTTCTGACGAGGGGCGTTTGTGGGATTTAAAGGGAATATAAGATGACAGTGAATCTGGCCTAGTAGGTTTTCATTCTTTTTTGCTCATAAAACGCCACGATGAAATGTGACACTGCCCCAAAAGAGGACGGATGCCCAAAAAATCATGCAACGTTTTAATTTAAGCCTAAATTCTTTTTGTTTTATTCATTCCAAAATGCCTGGAATATTTTACCGCTCTTACATTCATCTACACATTAACAAAAATTCCCCATGAAAGCACAGACGAATTAGCATCTAAATTAGTCACATTCAGTGGTATTGGATCATTTTGCATGTTCACGAATCTGGCACACGTGTGCAAATTGGGTTAGGTGCGGAATAGTCTGGTGCCCGGTTGTGCTTTAAATCGGTGTTACTTTGTTTTTGTATGCGGTGTCTATCTGGTAAATTACTATCGATTGCTTAGCCCTAGACAGCATCTGTCTTTTTTTCTAAAGGAAGAATTAAGTCGATGCACGTGATTGCAATTTCTCACGGTCAAGTACGCCTGATAAGTTGCAACTATATATAGTTGCATCATAGAGGAATTAGGCCCGGTCGGTGCACTTTCTCCTGAGCCTCGCTTATCAGGCGTACTTGACGAGAAATTGCAATCACGTGCATCACACACAGAAAAAAAATACACAAGTTGTGTAAAATTTTACATATTTGCAATGTGCTATACGAATATGCTATAGTTAGGTAAAATTTTACATAACAGGTGTTGGGTAAGGTTTATCACAACTGTTTGGTAAACTTTTACTTTGAAAATAACTATGTAAATTTACCCAATATCTTGGTAAAAACGGTGAAGTAAAACTTTACAAAATCTAACGGAAGTGACAGTATAGGCCAGAATGGAAACTCATTTTGGTTTCTGCAAAAAAGTGAGAATTTATGAGTCATGTTTAAGGGTGCAGACCAGTAAATCGGTCCGAAATTGCCTACGCCGGCCAAATCACGATTTGCATGCCCTCAAAATCTTCAGTATTTGAGCATGCTGTGGGCCATGAACTTGAGGGTTTGTAAAAAATATGGGTGGAAGCCGTGCACAGGACTGGGAGCTTGCAGTTCCGTGTAATTTGGATGTAATTTGGACCCTAGTCAGTGGCTAAAAGTGCTCTATTTTGCAATGGAGTGTAGGCATCGTTTTTCAAAATGGTGATTCGCTTCAGGACTTTTTTCAGGGGTGATCATCCTCAGATGGAAATTTCTCCTAAAAGTCATTAGTTGACCCCCCAAAAATTGAAAAGAAAATGAAAGATGATGAAATAAGCTTTAATTTGATGTGTGTCTCGAACACCTTGGAGAGTTGTGAGTATTTTTCCCGAATATTTGAAGTATAGGAGCATTTACCATTGGGGTCTATGGAAGTTTATTTACTGGTCTGCTACCTTAAGACCTCTTCTTGTTGTACGTCAGTGATTTGTGTTTGAAAAAGACGTCCAACAATGAGGTTTTCGTTGATTCAATGAGTCACGTTCTTGTGACGGTGACGCAGTGACTCCAACCTCGTACCCAGGGTGTCGAACAGTACGCGCCCATCACTACCTGCTCTTGGAAAAGCGGTTGGAAATAAAGTAAGCACTGGGGACGAGGTTGCAGTGACTCTACCCTTCCAAAAATAAACACTTCATGTAAGTCTGGCGCCCTCAAGGGGCCATACTTTGCATATTTTATATTAATAAACGTGCAGTTCCTGGTAAATTCATTACAGCGACTGCTATAAATTGTGACCATCAAAAGCGTTTGTTCAAGCCAAAATAGTAACAGCAGTGATGTGAAATTCCACTGGGAAACGTAAAAAAGACGGAGAATAATGTAAATACAATAAACTAGTTCAAATTTTTAGCACTCAACTGTACGTCATTACGGAAGAGACAATCTATGTCAGGTACCCACACTCTTATAATGACATACACACGATGTAGTGTTAGCAACCTGACTATGGAATTAGTGTACGTGTATTCCAATGCGACGTGCAAAACAATCGTAGGCTACCCAAAATAATAAATTACAATCATTTGAAGCCGAAGGTAACAAAAATGGATAAATTGAAGAGGGTGTTGAATGGAAAAGAGGAAGAAGATGACCAGCAAGGAATCGTCACTCAGGTTTAAACTTGTTTTTCTCTTTTTTTGGCGATGGTATTTCAATTGGCGTACTTTACGGCGGTCCTGACGGGGCCTCAGCATGCTCAGCTACTTGATGCGCCGAAACTAGGAGGAATCTCGATCATGTCGATTTCGTTATCAGTTATCAGGGTTGGGTTATCGCATTTGTAAATCCACCAACCACGTCGTCTCGCTCACGAACAGCATGGCAGCGTAATTGCAGAATACCCCGCCACTCAGAAATACACCCCTAAATTATCTGGCTACGAGGTTGGAATCACTGGAAAAGAAACAATTCAAGTCCATGCCAGCTACGCGGATACTGAGTGGGGGTCCATTATTTGAGAACGAAGCAACACAAAAGGAATGAGAGTTGCTGAAAAAATTGTAAGTCCAAACCAACTACCCTGTTGGCGGCTACGCGGATACGGAGTGGGAGTGCAGTGGAGCATGACGCTTAGTACATAGAAGTAGCGCTGAGAAGGTTTATTGAGGGCAATCAACCGTGACTCCGTAGCCGGCTACGAGGTGAATAGATTGAGTGGTGTGGTATTTCGCAATTGTGCCGCCTAATCCTTCATGTCCTTATCAATAATCTTTAGGACACCTCTATTTTTGGCGATCGTGAAGTGTAGGGCCCGGTTCCTATAAGGGAACAAAATCCACTTCAAAATTATTGGACCTACCAAACTAGTTGGCGACATTCTCAATAAACAGGTATGTCATACTCATAGATAGAGGTCAGGGTTTGGAATTTTTGAGGGAAATTTGGGGGTAAAATGACGATGACAGCGCGGCGACAACATGCGACCCGAAAATAAAGATGGCGATCACCGCGCGATGTGCCGTGAGCACGCACGGCGCGCTGAATCGCAAGGCACAAACCGCGCAGGAAAATTGTGATTTCTGCCCCAAGAATCTGTTCAAAATTGCAAACTGGGTGTCATTAGAATTGAGAAAAGTCTGCTTTTGATTGTAAAGGTGATTTTTGAGCAATAAAAAAATATTTTTGACTCTTATTTGATCAAAACAAAACAGGGGCCCTACACTTCACGATCGCCCTATTTTTAGTTCTGTTCAAAACTTACTTTTGCAGATGACTAACCAGTACCAAAGTGACTTTTGCAGGCTAAAGCAGTCTTGTTTCTTCATATCAATTCATGTTAGTTGTTAGCTTGAGTTACCCCTAGAACTATGGCACGTAATACCCATGGCATATCAACGCGAACATGCTGTATACTCCACGAATAATATGGAAGTGAGTTTGGAGCGGCCGCTATATATATGTACCCCAAGACTATGCCCAGTACTTCTTGACATACTCATCACGTTCTTACATACTCATGTTCAATAAGTATAAGGGTTGAATCGATCCCGATGGTGCAAAAAAATGATGAAACTGTCCCTTTCCGGGGGGGGGGGGGGGGGGGGGAGTCCATCATATTATTGAACCGCAACCGCGACAAACATGATTTGCAGTCTTGAATCATGTTGGCTGGTTTTCTACTTAAAATCTTAAGTCAATTTCCCATTGAAATTCTTCTCTTCAGTTCTCAATTATAAGCTCCATGCAAAAACTGAAAAACAATTATAATGATCGACCATCTACAAAGCAAAACAATATATATAACATGAGCAATTGGCAAATAGTGCTTCCTGTTGACCACAAAAGAAATAATTAACAGCTGGTAATAACTTTTTCCATTTATATGGTTCCATCAACTGGTTTCAATTGTGCATGGTGTTGACATTGCCATTGATAACTGGTTTCTGCAACTGGTTTCTTCAACTGGTTTCAACTGGTCCAGAACATGTTGACACATGCTGTCCCCTTTCCGTACCGAAGCTACAGCTTGAGTTTTAACATTTTAACGTGCATGCGAAGCATTGTTGGCGTGACGTCAGAGCCTTTTGGTCTGGGAACCGACCACAGACACTGACTTTGTTGTAGTTCATATCGCGGGCGGCGTCAGACTGGCCAATCACGAGACAACGTGAACATTAGTTCAGAAGTAAAACCTTAGAATTGATATAAACATTTCTCCTGGCAGATTTACGATGGGTCAACATTGAGCTGGTCCACAAGACTCAAGGGATTCATTGCCTGCTTTGTGATTGGTTGTCTCCTCTCAGTATTGGTATGTATGATAGTTTGACATGCTTGTAGCTACACTCATGTACATGTATTCATTCATGTACATGTATTTCATGTACTTAATAAAGATCACAATATTTTTAGATATCCAACGAGCACGTGTGGAACAAGGAATAATGTTCGTCTGTGTCCCAGTATGCCATATGCCACGAGCTGAAGGCTGAATGTTCCACGAGTTCGAGTGGGATAACAAATTAATCTTCAAGCAAACTTGGCGCAAATTCAAGATGGAGTACGCAGGCTACATTTGTATACACAACATTTTCAACAGTTATCCTACATGTATTACAGAATCGCATGCGCATCTTTAAAATAGATTTGGACCGGTGTCATGGGATAAAATCATACTGTTGTTGCCTGGGATCGACCAATCAGGCTCGAGGATTCAATTTTTCTTGAAGATTGATATCAATTTGTAATTTGTTAATTGTGTCATGTTGATCAAAGATGATACAGTTTTCAGCTTGGAAATACGCTGTACTTAAGAAAACGAATCCATTTTTAAATGACTTATCTTCGTGTTGATGGGAGGATGTAAAGAAGACGTAAATTGAATCTTTCTTTAGTCCACGTTTGCCCTGATATTCCCCACGGCCGCAAACCTCAAGCTTTTTGCTGTTCTCTACACTCTTGGTAACATCACGGCCATGGCAAGGTACGTAAGAGCCCTCATCAATCACGGAGGCTCACATTTTATGAGTTACTGGTTTGTTGCAATTAACATCTAGCTACTGACAAATTCAATGTCTGCTTGTTGAAGGGTAACCCTTGCAGCAATATATGCAATGTGCAACAAAATGCAACAACATGTAAAGAAAAAAATTACAAAATGCAGTGAAGTGTAACAAAGTGCAACAATGTGCAACAACAAAAAATGCAAAGATGATAAATTCATCATCTGCTTGTTGAATGATAACCCTTGCAACAATATGCATCAAAATGCAACGAAATGTTACGAAATGCCACACAAGTGCAACATAATGCAACAAAATGTAACAAAATGCAACGAAGTGCAACAAAATGCAACAAAATGTAACAAAGTGCAACAAAATATATAGGTGGATTTTGTTGCATTGTGCAAAAACTACATTTAGTGATTGGGTGAACACCAGCTTGTCCCATGTTGTAACAAAACTTCTTTGACACTTGCTTTGACTGCAAAATTTTACTACATTTAAATTTTGTTGCATTTACATTTTTTTTGTACATAAAAGGGTGAGGGTTAAATTAATACGAAGCATGTTCTATGTTTATTTTAACAATGTTTATTTCTTTGCAGAGCGAAAGAATTAAAGCAGCACTGCTACCAAACTACTTGTCGCATTTCCTAATCACTGACATTTCTGTTTTAACTCTCTACTTATGTTTTCGACATTTTCTGACGCTATCTGGGAAATTCTTCACATTGCACAAAAGTCACGTACACAAATGTACGGAATAGTTTTTCTGTTGTTTTTTTTGCTCACAATTTGTCACAAAATTCAGCTTAAAACAAAAATAAGAGTAACTTTGAAAACAGTAGGATCTGATATTTCTAATGGATAAAATACATAGTGATTTCAAGGTGCTTAACTTTGAAGTGACACCCTTTTTTTGGTTTGACAATAAAGCCATACACATTTTTTTAAGTTACAATTTTCAATCCTTTAAAGCTACAGTCCATCATTTGCAACTATCCGAAAAGTAACTGACGTAATTATTGTTGAAAAACATACTTGGTTGAAAGATTAAGGGGGCTAAACTCCCTGTGAAATTATTCTTTCTGGCAAGCTGTCATTTTGAAGAAATCAACCATAGAAGGCCTTAAGAAATTTCCGTTAGTATTTCATTTTTTTTTTTCGGTGAAGTGCCCGCAAGCGTTGGCACAACGCACACACGCGTGTGGTTGCTATAATTCCTCGGATCGGTGAGCGACATCGCGTTGCTGCAATCGGCTCAGACATGAATTCAGGCCCTTTTGTTTTGAAATCGAGATCATAGAAAGTTGTTTTTCTCGAAACATACAGCTGAAGCTGAGCTGAAACTTCATCAGGTTAGTTGTTCAGAACCCTTCTTTAAATTTTGAGCTCGCTGTTGCTTCAAACGAACAAAATGCACAAATTACAAATGATGGACTGTACCCTTTAATATCTCTCTCTTTTTTAAAAATAAATCTTGCATTGGAGTATTGTAGTAGCGATATCTAGTTTGTGTTAACCCAATGCTGTTGTGTTGTGTTCTTCTCTTAACCCTTTGCATGCATGCAGGGAAGCTTCTTTTTATTCTTCACGTTTGGCACCGCCCTCAGTCTATTCGCTATCTTCTACACGTTGGGTTCTATCTGTGGCTTGATGAGGTACAATAACCCCAACTGCCTGGGCCCTTTACCCCTAACCCTGCCAGACGTAACACAGTCCATCGGGTGGAAAAGAACTGGTACACTTTGATGCATTCAGCTACCAACACCAGTGCATGAATGGCCAGCTCTGAAACAATGAGAGCTAAGTCCCATTGAACAATGCCACAGTTGTATCCTGCTGCGTGCATTGACCACGGACTCTGAGGCAGTGTGGCCTTGAGACTTTTCCCCTGATGGATCTTGCTACGTTTGGCAGGCTTGTCACTAAGTCAAGTGTTGCATGTTGCTATGTTTGGCAGGGTTCTAGCAAACATACCCAGGAGGCTTAGGGTTAAACTACGACCATTCTAAGTCCTCCAATTGTCACCTTGTAAAAAAAAAAATTATTTAGCCTCAAATCTTCCAAAATCATTCTTAAATTCATTCAGTGGAGGGTTGACCAATGCCTCAATCCTTCAAAATCTTCCTTCAAAAACATTGAGGCATTGTGGATGATGTCCAGAAGCAGTGTGGATGATACTGAGCATAATATAGGCCTCAGGTACGCATGGCTGAACAAACAAAAATGCCGGGCGCAGCCTACAACTTTACCACTACCACACTTACTCTCCTTGTATTGGAAGTTGAGAAACTAGTTCACTTAGAGCAGCCTTGGAACTAGTTTATCAACTTCCAATACCTCGGGAGCTAATAATATTGACTGTCCACCCCAAATTACCCCAATATAATTTGATTGCCCACCAGCAAAAAAAAATAGCTTGCTAAAATCTGCACCTATTCTAACAGGCTAACACCTTTCAGATTTGTCTCAATGCTCTGCTGAAGGGCGATTCCATAAATGCGGTTATACATGTCAGACACTTGAATGAGCTTTTGTTAGTTGTGATACACCACTAATATGTGACATCTAGTGAGTGGAAAAAAATTACACATATACAGACAAAAGTAAGGTACCACCACCTTAAACGAATGTGTACATGTGCATCATTTGATCGGACGTACATGTACATTCTATTTTACAGAATTGCCCTGGAGGTAGTCAACTGAATATGTAAACAAAGCACCATCTCATTATGCCTTAGATCTGTAGATCTTATACATAGCGGCCATTTTAGTGAGCATCTTTTGTTATTCGAATTCAGTAACGGTGAATGCACAGAAGGTTCACGTGTGCATATCCCAGTAAAACAAAGGCACTGCCCTCTAAAATGGCTGCTACGCTTAATGTCTGTACAGCAGGGTGAGGTTCCATCCCTAACTGTCCTGAATCCTCCAATTTCAATACGATTTTGCATACCCCCTAGCTGCCTTGAGCCAGTGAAATGACAATATCTCCATGGGATCCCATTGAATCTTACAGCACCATGTTCCTGATGGGCCCAGTCAAACAACTCAAGAACATGTTTAAGGAGAAGCGTCTGATTGCAACCGGCCTTGTTTTCTTGTTCCTTGCATTAACTCTCTGTGCTGCACTCTGGGTAAGTTCACTACGCTTGAGGGCGCTGTTGCTGGAACATTAGGGGTGTTCATCGGAACTGGGTACCGAGAACCTGAACGTGATGCCAAGAACCGGTTCTGGATTATGGGATCAGGTTCCTTTGACCAACTTGACAAATTGCGTACTAATTTCTCAGACAATGAAAAAGAAAGGTTTTGAATATCATTTGTTGGGAATTTTCAAAATGAAAACCTGACTACATGAGAAACCAAAACAGATTTCACGTTCGTTTGCATTTTAATGTGCAATAGATGACACTCCCGAAAGTTGCAGTTAACCCTGCAAAGCTATAAAGTTCTTCAGACAACTTCTTGGATTTGAATTTTGGGGTTGGGTTTCTTTTGCGGTTATCCGGATACCCGTCTTCTACTTCAATAGGGTATCTGGTTTCCGTTCTACCCGTAAATGCACACCACTAGTAACAATGCAATTTTGGGAGTACAAAACAGCATCAATGTAAGGTTTCTTGAAGTAAATAAATATCTATACATGTTTTGCTGGTCTCAAAGGGCATGCACTGTGTTTTCTTTGTACTTATCTCACTGACTGACTGTCAGTTGTGACTTGGGCTGGTTAAAAGAGCTGGGCAGTGCTGTCATATAGGATTACCCAGAGTCTTTCAATAAAATGGGACCCAGTGAATAGATATTTTGAATCAATTGAATATAATTGTCTGCACTCTGACTGGTCTGGAGCCAGTGTTACTTGGCTTGCCATCCAGCACCCTTTTCACACCCAGTCCTCATGGGTTGGACAAATCAATCATAATGTCATAATTGTTGTCCTTTACAGTGGAACATTGCAATACTTGCCATCATCTTCTGTATCTGTCAGTTCCTTGCTCTGATTTGGTGAGTTCTATATTTCTATATTCTATAGTTCTATATTTTTACTTCTAAACCCTAACGGTTTGAAATCCATGAAGATCGACATCCAGGGGCAAGATTAGGCGGGGACCATTAGTCGACTACTGGTTAATTTGTGACGTACATGTTTGTATGTAGCTTAAGCCAACCATCCAGCATGCGAGTGAAGTTAGTCGACCTATGGTTAACTGTAGTCCTTCACAGAATTTGCTGCAGGCTTTGATTATGTCGGAGACTCAGTACTTCAGAACCCAATCACTGTTACATAACAAGGGGCTTAGTGTCTCAATTTGAAATAAGAAGAGTATTCCATTTTGTTACTGGACATTGGTGGAGTTTGATAGATTCAGGCAGCTAGATATATTATCCAATCCATATCACAGTCTACCCTTCTTTACAAGTTATAATTTCTGCCTAGCTTCCCCATAGCAAAGATATCAGATTAGGAGGCCGTTGTATGAGGTTAGATAGCTCAGTCTGCAGAGTGCTCATATTCTGATCCACATTCGAATCCCACTCCCGTAGATTTCGCTGGTCCCAAGTAGCCGGCCCAGTGTCCTGTTTGTACCAATCTGACTGACCGAAAGTTATTTGTGATTTAGAATGAGTATTTTGTGATTTAGAAGAAGTGAGTCGGGCAGTACTATTGTATAGGATTACCCCATATAAGGCTAACGAATGGGCTAAATCTAATCCTTTGACACGTTTGAAACATTTTGTGTTCTCAGGGATAAGCCTTATCAGGCTTGACACGTCTCATTTTTATTTATTCAGCAATGTATTAGCATTTGTTTGCTTTTATTGCAGGTACTCGCTGTCGTATATCCCCTACGCACGGGACGCTGTCACAAAATGCTTCCAGGGGTGCCTCAATTGCTAAATTGGTCATTGGAGGTTGGAATAGAGACCATAATGCCTTACATTAGGACCATACTCCAGGGGGGTTAGCTATAAAGGGGGTGCAGCAAGGGCGGATCCAGGGGGGGGGGGGGGGGGGCCAAAGGGGGCCATGGCCCCCCCCCCCCAAAACGAAACCAATTTTTTTTTATTTTTATGTGACATCGCAATAAAGGCAGGCAATGAGTACACCACCATCTTTTCCTCAAAAAAACATTGGATAAAGTGGTCAGAAATTGCCTCAGATCGCACCACAGAGCATCTAGAATCCAAAAAAATTTCGGGGCCCTTAAGCGGGCCCCGAACCCCACGCCGTAATTTTTTGACCCACTTTTTGGGGGACCAAATTTTTTTGGGCCCCCCTAAAATTGTGTTCTGGATCCGCCCTTGGGGTGCAGGGGTAGTGAAAGGGTAACAGGGACAGGAACAGTGTCTCTCCTTGGACCCTAAATTGACCCAGATGCATGTTGAAAAAGTCGTAGGATAGTGTTCTGTCAAGCAGGTGTTGGAGATTAAGCCTTGATTTGAATTCTTGAAAAGGTCGGTACAAAACTTTGATGACGTTTCATTTTCATTATGGCTGTGTTCTTAACTTTAATCAAACTCGCACACGGGCTATTCCGTAAAATCCAACGGACATCCAACCACATGATGTTCATGTACATATGTAAAGTTGACTCTCGTCAATACAAACACTGTTAATACAAATGCTGGTTATAGCAAACATAAAGCCTTGGTCCCGACTGTGTTCGATGTGCACAATGAAAGGGACCGACACTTCTCTGAATACAAAATTCTGATATAACAAACATTTTGGCTAGATCTGGTGGGGTTTGTGATAATGAGACTCGACTGTACACGGTTGTGATGGGTTACCTTAGTTTTGTCTGGAATTGTTTTCTACTCAAAAGATATAGTGATGTAGTCTCGCATTCACTATATTTAACAGCACCTCATTATAGTGGCTGACAATGAAGTGTACGGTACCTCCGAATGTACGGAATTGCCTATTTGGGATCTTATCACTGAAGATAGTTGTTATTAGATTTTTTTTTTTCAATTGACTGTCATTCTGATGTTGCTAGTTGCAATATGTACAGAAATCCATGGTTTATTGTACATAGAATTTGCAGAAAAGTTAAACGGTTTTTGTTAATGCTGGGTAAGTTATGTTCAGCATTAAAACCCTAACCTTGGCAAGTCTTCCAAAATCCTCTTTGCAAAACGGAGGATTTTTGCAGGATTCAGGCTATTGGGCAAAAAATGTGTGCACTGTCTCAAGGTTTTAGGCTGGACCTTGTGTTGTTAATGCTCAGCTGTGTATAAATTTAGGCCTAGATTGAACTTGAAATCCTCCACACTGCTCCAGGATGTCACTGGCTCCGCCTCAACATATTGACAGTGATTGCTGGGGGATTTTGCCAGATTGAGGCAGCGGTCACCCCTTTAAGGACCACACTCAAGAAATAATGGAGGATTTTGCAGGATTGAGGCTGTATGCAACTTTTACATGGAGGTAGTTGGAGGATTTTGCAGAATTGAGGTTGCATCCTAGCACAAATGCCTAGGGAGTTAAGAGGTAGCTAAAATGGCTTTAATGAACTTTTGTTTTAATAATTCATCAATTTTGGTTTAAATTGAGTTGGAGATTGTGGCATTTCTGTTGCAGCAATTGTATTATTTTCTACTCTGAACTCAGAAACTTGAAGCATAAATCCCACAGCTAGAAAAATTGTCCTGATCAATTTTGAAATATTGATTTCGTTGTTTTATGAATAATTGTGAATTCTGATTGTGCATAAACTTTGAAAAATGATGTGATCTTTTGGCACTAATGCACGTGCAAATACTCTTTCTATCGGTGACTGCGGCAAAATGAATCTAAGTCTCAAAGACCCGACAGTTTTGTCACAAATCCTTGAACATTTCAGTATTACGTCCCAATGATAAGCTGCACTGTGAAAGCTAGTTCACGCTTCAATGTATATACATTTTAGATCCAAAAAGCTTTTGTGAAGAAATTTATGAGAGGTAAAATGGAATTGCAGTATTTTTCAATCCATTTTTCTTCATGATGGATTGGACCGATCCAGTAAGCCCCTCCCACTGCGCACTGGGCAAATTAACACGTGCTCCTCTCCAATGCCACACTGCACTTTCCTGCCGCGCGCATCATACGCGCATGCACGCATGTCAGACTTTTGTGCACGCACGTCGGACATAAATCACGGCTGTGATTGGTCAGAATACCATGGGGCGGTGCTTACTGGATCGGTCCATTCCACTTTAAATTGATGGCATAACAAGCGCAACAATTTTACAGGATACGGTACTTGATGCTACTATTTACTTACAATCAAGAAGACTATTTTTTAATATTTTTTCGGTTTCGTTTTTGAATAGTGGCAAATGGTATACAATGCCTTTTACATATATTTTACAATTCACAGTATTTTTTTCTGCTCAACAATTGAAGAGTTCATTTTCAAAACGCGCCATATCCATTTGATAAAAAGGTGAACATTGTGCACAGTTCTGAAACTTTATCCCTGACCCCTAGGGGTTCCTCAGGAATACCTTGCTAAATCATACAAAGTCCGCTGGTTAATTCCTGCTGGATCCAACAGAGTCCAACTTGGCGTTATTTATCAGTGCCCAACAGAATCCGACTCTGAATATGTTCATGAAACATTAGTACAAGGGGTTTACTGCTCAATCCAACAGGCTCCAACCGGTATATGATATAGTTGGATTCTGTTGGATTCAGCAGGGTTAATGGATAAGAAAACAGTACAAAAACTGTTTCTAAACTTCATCGCGATCGCTTTATTGTATTCTGAAGTTTGTGTTTAAGAAGCTGTCAAAATAAACTCTTCACTGTCTGTTACTGGCTGTTCCTGCATAGCTATTATGCCCATTGTTTGTACTAACTAGCAAATTTGGTGCCAAAAATATTTGCCTTTTAAGTGGTGCCTCGGTGATTTGAAACTGATTTCATATTTCTAAATGAACAAAATTACTATTTTAATGCACAGAATAATTTCTCGCATAGTACTATTTATTTATATTGTCACCTCAGTTTAGATGAAATAAAACAATTATTTTAACTTTGAAATAGAAATTGTGTTCACTGAGAATTTGTTTTTGTGTAAGTCTTTTTCCCTTAAAAAAGTGATGATACTCAGAACTATTTTTTTTCCCCCGCAGAGCACGTTCACACTCCTGTATTGGGCTGCTGTACCTTTTAAAGGAAAAATTTCTTCGATAATTTGGGGGAAGATTGGACAAAAAATATTCATTTTTCACCCAATAATTTCAGACTTTTGGCCACAATCTTACGAAATATGCTTCTTTGAGTATTAAATTATTGTTCTGATGCATCCCAAGGCATTTCTGAGCATTTTGGAGAAAAGAGAATTTGGGCCATCACGTTCCATTAACTTTGGCAGCGACTGCAAGCCCCATTTGAAAGAAAAAGTTAAGACCGGATGAAGGTACATGTACCAACTTTTACGACAACGTGTAATGTGCAATCCGAATGAAAATCAATGTGTATTTTACGCGTGTGAAACATTACATTGTTACGATCATAGTATTTTTATTGTTGGACTGTTTCTCATGATATTCAATACGCCTCTGTTACACATCGTGGAAATTAAGTGCACGAAATTTTAGTTTAATACATCTTGTATTTCTTGAGTTGTTGTTCGGGAAGTGAGTTGTTATTTTTGTTTAATAGTGCAGCATCCGCACCAATATTCTTTCAATAGATGTAGCGCCACATAAATAGTGGTCTCGATAATTATCCACCACCAAACTCGTTTGGGGGGGGGGGGGGACAACTCCAGCAATAAAAAATATTTTAAATTGAATTTTCGTTTAGTGATTTGTCATCATGTTTAACATTGCCAGATTCATAAGAAACCGTCAAACAATGAAGCAATATTGACCGTAACAATACAGTGTTTTAAGCGCGACAAATGCAATCCGAATGAAAATCAATGTGTATTTTTCGCGTGTGAAACACTACATTGTTACGATCATATTATTTTTATCGTTGGACTGTTTCTCAATTAATTGCACGAAATTCCAGTTTAATACATCTTGTATTTCTTGAGTTGTTCTTCGGTAAACGAGTTGTTATTTTTGTTTAATAGTGCAGCATCCGCACCAATATTCTTTTATTTAATAGAGGGCGCGCCACATAAATAGTGGTCTCGATAATTATCCACCACCAAACTCGTTTGGGGGGCAACAACTCCAGAAATACAAGATGTTTTAAATTGAATTTTCGTCTAGTGATTTGTCATGATGTTAAACATTACGAGATTTAATTTCATAAGACACCGTCAAACAATGAAGCAATAATGACCGTAACAATACAGTGTTTTAAGCGCGACAAATGCAATCCGAATGCAAATCAATGTGTATTTTTCGCGTGTACAACACTACATTGTTACGATCATATTATTTTTATAGTTGGGCTGTTTCTCATGATATTCAATAGGCCTCTGTTACACATCGTGGAAATTAATTGCTCAAAATTTCAGTTTAATACATCTTGTATTTCTTGAATTATTGATCGGAAACTGAGTTGTTATTTTTATTCAATAGTGCAGCGTCCGCACCAATACAAAATAGAGGGCGCGCCACATAAATAGTGGTCTCGATCCACCACAAAACTTGTTTGGGTGGCAACAACTCCAAAAATACAAGATGTTTTAAATTGAATTTTCGTCTAGTGATTTGTCATGATGTTAAACATTACGAGATTTAATTTCATAAGAAACCGTCAAACAATGAAGCAATAATGACCGTAACAATACAGTGTTTTAAGCGCGACAAATGCAATCCGAATGCAAATCAATGTGTATTTTTCGCGTGTACAACACTACATTGTTACGATCATATTATTTTTATCGGTCGGCTGTTTCTCATGATATTCAATAGGCCTCTGTTACACATCGTGGAAATTAATTGCTCAAAATTTCAGTTTAATACATCTTGTATTTCTTGAGTAATTGATCGGAAACTGAGTTGTTATTTTTATTCAATAGTGC